GGAGGGAGGGAGGGAGGGAGGGAGGGGGGGAACTTACGAAAGACTTCCATCGTGCTCGAGGATGTTGTGCTTGCTCAGGGTATCCAAGCCCCAGGTTGAGCCGCCGGGGTTGGTAGTAAGGGCAGCGGTGTGCAGGAGAACGGTGACGTCGTCGCTGATGTTTAGGGCGGTCTTGAGGGCGTGCTTGAGGATGTCGAGGGTGAAGTTGCGGCCGTTGTGGGGCAGGAATTCGTGGTTGGCGAGGGTGTTGAGCATGGGGCAGGGTCCACGGGCTTGAGAGGAATGTTAGGTACTTATCCTACGAGAGATGTTTTGTAGCAAAAGGTGGATCTATGTTTAAACTTACAGTCGCCGGTTCCAGCTGGGTTCCAGGTATCCATAGCACCCTGGGCGCTGACTACGCCAACAGCCGCAAGGGCAACAAACGGTACAGATGCAAAGCGCATATTGTCGGTTTTGCGGGGTTTGTAGAGAGAATCTGTGGCGAGAGGGAAGTCGAGCAGGCGTGAGGATAGAGTTCAGTCTACGAGATATCCATGAGTCTCTTATACCACTTTTTTTGCGCGCCTCGGTCAAACGACCAGCGCCACCGCAGATTGCTCTCCATGCGTACAAGGCCTTGTTTCTAAGCCAAGAAGGGGAAAGGAAATTTTAGTAAGTTGCAAAGGCTTAGCGGCACCTCGGACGTATTCACTTATTGTTCCCTACTATGGCAGCATCCTTCCCCAGTGCGTGCGCCCTCCCCTAGGACCATTTTTCCATTACACGTGCCTCTTACTGCCCTTTTGTCACCCGGTCTCTTGAACATGTCACGCCTTTGTTCCCTGGATCTACGTCGAATTGTGTAACGTTCAGAGCCAAAACAAAAGTGGTTCGGATTCGCTGGGGGAGAGAACCCCAGGTAGGTTCGCGGTCCTCGCCCCTTGTCTCGCAGGTGGGCCAGGTCTAGGATGGTGGAGCCATGGTCGCTCGGCCCGCGCGACATAACGTCAAAGTAGGTGCCTGACTCGAATGCGTGGCTCCGGGACTAGCCCCGGCTACTACGACTTTGTTATGCTATGCTGACCTTTCTTCCTCGTTGTATTGCCAGCATCAGTCTCACACATGACTGTATCATTGCCACTCGTGCGCGCTGCTGCTGCTGCGAACACCTAGTCTGCTGACTGTCTGGGGCTCAGCTAGGCAGATGGAACATCCACCAACACAAGATAACATCATCATCAATACATCGCCATCATCAGCAAAATCGTGGCTCAATAGGTTCCGTCGGGCGACTACATACACGAGACATGCTTGACTTGCAGCGCAGTCTGTTTTGGTAGTAGTGGAGCTAAACTCAGGGATCGGAGATTGCACTCCCGCTAAACTACGACGGTGCGCCACACCCTTTAACCATTTCCCTACAACAGTATGCCTATCATGGCATCAACTCCAGAGTAGAACATGTCATGAAGTTGCCAAGTCATGTAAACAACAAAGTTTATTCTTAGACAGATAGACGCACAGTACATCACTATCGAAAAACTTACCGCGGCTTTACTAGCAAACGCATCTTACCCCCTTACTGCGCAGAAAAAAATGCGACACCATCCCAGCATTCGCATCCTTTCATCATACTCTAAACAGCAGTTGATGTTGGGCAGGCCCCTCCCTCCCACTCCCTCGGCCGGGCCGGGGGGCGACCAGGGTTAATCCTCTTTTTTAACAAACCTACATTCGCCTTCCCCGCTGCAGAGAGCCACCATCGAAACATCAAGGCCGGAAATCTCCCCATCGCGTCACCCCATGCCCAGGTGCTGTATACACACCAAGAGTTACTATATGCACCTGTTTAAATGAAAGTACGATGTAGCATTGAAGCCAGAAAAAAGGGACCTATAAATATCGCATGAAACGCATGGAGTGTGCGGTCGGAAACGCACGTCATAAGGCTGGGATAATGCTATACTACAACTTGACGTCTACAACTTCTGTATTATCATAGACGGTGATGGAAATAATGTTGTCAGTTGCTTTCTCAGCGCAGAACACACAAAGTAACATGCTACGCATGTGAAGGCCGCAATACACCCTAGGAGCCCACACACTCTGTTTGAAGTACACTATATATTCAACCCACCCCACCCACACCGCCCAATCAGCACCCACGTATTTGTGAGCAAGCCGGGCGCCCGCATACAAGCCAAGCCAATTGGCGTCTCCGTGATTCTAACGCCGTGCATCTAGAACTTGGCTCAGCACAAACCCCCCCCTTCCGCCATACATGCCAAAAAAAGTTCCGTGGGTATGTCGTGTAAACTTCCTCTGTCATTTTGCTTTTTTTTAGTTTTGTCCAACGCATGGGAATCGGGAATCGCGGGAGCTAGGGCGCATAGTGCTTATCTTTCCGCACGGAATGCCGCCGAATGGAGGAGAGAGGGAGTCTTGGGTAAACTACAAGGGCCCCCCTCTTTACTTGACTGGTGGGTACCCGTGAGACGGACAGGGTATTAATTGTGTGTGTGTGTGTGTGTGTGTGTGTGTGTGTGTGTGTGTGTACACTGCTTTCGACTACATATGGCCGAACCGAGGTATGTTTCTCAAAGCAGCGCAACGACTTCTGCTTTAGATTTGAATTCGGCGATTTGCTTTGCAGTGCAACCTTTTAATGCGCCGGCCGTCGTGCGAGTATCCTTGCGGACACCGTTTTCCAACAAGAACTTGACGGTGTCGACGTGGCCCTGTTCGGCTGCAAGATGGAGCGCTGTCCACCCGTTTTTGAGCGTCGCCTGGTTCATATCTTGGCCCTTGTTCTTGAGCACTTGAAGCACTTTGACATGGCCTTTTTGGGCGGCGAGCAAGTATGCGGTGCGGTTTTTGTTGTCACGCGTGGTGAGCACTTTGTGGTCCCATTCCAGAAGCAGTTTTACGGCGCCGACTTGATTGTTTAGCGCGGCGATGTGGAGAGGGGTGCGTCCGTCGACATTCTTGATGTGGATATCGATACCGGGTACGGAACGCAAGGTCCGCAGGATCTTGGTATCGCCGCGCTTCGCCGCCAGATGTGATGCGGTCCAGCGCTTTGGTGTAAGGGCATTGATGGGACATTCCTGTTTCGACACAAGTTCGTCGATCCTGGTATATAGCTTGTCTGCGACTGCCCAGTGTAAAGCATTGCGTGGACCAGGCCCCATTGACACCTTGGTTTCTACCTTTGGCGCCGGACCAAGTGTCAGACGCCAGACCATCTCGTCGCAACACTTCTGGCTCGTTTCGTAGCGCTTGTTGAGGTCTTCGAGTTGCTCGCTCCAATTGTACATCTTCATCGCGTTCTTGAACCACTTCTTGGGTGCAGAGTCGTCACATAGGAAGTTTGCCAGCTGTGCCGATGCAAACATGATTCCTTTGAACAGACCAATATAGACGACGCGCAGCTTCTGCTTCAATCTTTGCATGTCGTCATCATCCTCGGGCCGTATACTGACACGCTCGTGGCTTTTGGCAGTATAAACATAGTAATCGGACGCAACCTCGGCCAAATCTATCATGGCGTCTTTCTCAGACGTGTATATTTCTTCCATCTGGTTGGGATGTTAGAGTGGTTGTACATAAAGTCAGAAATATGCGTAATCTATCATACTGAGAAAACCATGAACAAGGCGGCAACGGGGATAGCCACATAGGGACCACCGACTGCTGCGCCCGCCCCGAACAGTTCTTTCATCATCCCCATATTTTGCGACACCCTGTTGAATCTCTCCGGACGCTTTTTTGCCTCCAGCTTGCTCCCTTGTTTACTAATAAACGACAGCATCACTTTGTATCCTTTATCCGTCTTGAGATCCAGATCCGGTTGGTTGAGTCGTTTCCTCAGTTTTGCCTGGACCTTTTGCATATGCTCTTTCTCTGCGCCATCAGCATAGAGTGCCTTGTAAGCTTCTCGCCAAAGATTCGGCTCCTTCTTTCCGTGCTTATTTGAATTTGTCATTGTGGTCTCGTGCTTGCGTGTGTGTCAATGGATGATACCACAAAAGGAGATGTTGACAAGTAAGGCGTTGGTTTGGCCGAGCTGAAAAAGTGTTCACGAGCGAGTACCCGAGCAGCATGACTGCCTGATAAACCTGTTGTGATGACTAGAGTTACACCGGTTCACCTGATGGGTGCACAGCCCCCACCGTTAGCTGCGGCTGATGTGGGCGGTTAGAAGCCAATGGGAATTGTTGGCGCTTGATAGAACGAGAAGAGGGGCCAAGTCGCTGACAAAATGATAACGCGGTGATCCCGCGGGCAGCCCTAAAGCGAGCGTAGAGAGTTTAGCGAGCAAGTAGGCGCATTCGCGATGGCTGCTCAGCCACATCCGTAGATGTGAGAACGCCAGCACAGCCTTGAGTGATTTATTCAGCCATCGCAGTTGACATATACGAGCATCAGAGGTGCCTCAGCAGATTTTGATACCCTTCCAAAAGATATGACGTGCTATGCATGAGCTCTCAGACCAGATCTGGGTGGGCATTCGGAAAATTGCAGCCTACATCTTCCGCTCGATTTCCTTTTGCCCTCCAGCTAAGATGTCTGAATTAGAACTGCATATCATTGGTTTACAGTGTAACAACCCAGTCCAATTTTTTCAATGCGTTACCATGGTTTAGTACAAGTTGACGGTATGGACTCTTATGGCGAAACTGTTCAGAAGTTAGCGAGCAGAACACGAGCACTGAATGAAAATGAAGGTAGTAACTGCACAAGAAGTCAATGATATCACAGTATGCAGATAAAAGGGAAAACATGTACTTCTGGAAGTGAAGTAGAAAGAGAAGTGAAAGACAAGTATCAAAGACCCATGATATGTTGTATTAATTCATGTGGACATCTGCCTCAATCGCTGTACGTGCGGTTTGCAACGACATATTAGGTCGATACCACACGATGGAAACTAGAATAGTCCAGCATACAAAGCACTCAACTTTTATCCTGAAAACTCATTGCCTCCTGACTGAGTCGTGCAACTGGAATTATACAACCAGGTACTCAGTGAACAAGGACACTTCCTTAAACTTGTTCCTCAGCTGACACATCGAGAGTGAGTTCCTCCTCAATAGCCTCAGTCTTTATCTTTTTGACAGCGAGCAAATCATCAAGCTCACTACTCTCCTCAGACTGGGACTCAGCGGACTCAGTCTTGAGCTCACTAGCCTTGCGCTTTCTGATAGAGGGCGAAGGTGTCGTGGGATCTTCTGCCTTGGCCTTGACCCGGGACCGCGGTGTCTTAGGAGTAGCGGGTGCTTGAACAGGAGTGCTTGTAGCAGAATTCAAGCCCGTGGCGCCCGATACGTTCTTCTTCTTCCAAGAGTACAGGCGACTCTCAATGGCCTTGGCAGTGCACTCTGGAACGGGAACATCAGAATTGTGCGTAGAGAAGGGGTACAGGGAAAGGAATAAGATGAACGTATGTTAGCAAAGATGGCAAACATACCGACTCCAATATCATTGATTCGCTGAGCGATCTTGGCGCAGAGGGACTTGGAGAAGCTGATGTTGCACTCCTCAAAGACAACATGGAGGATCTGAAAGGCGCGTCAGTGACTGTGGAAATAGACATAGGGGACTGGGGCAGTGCATGGTTTACTTACAATCGCGTCTAGCTCGGGAGTCCACTTGGGCATCTTGACGGTTGGGGATGAAGATCTGTTGTTGGATCAGTAACGGCAACAGGGCATGTAACAAGAAGACCACTCACCGATTTTTGTGATTTGTTTGAGGTAGTTGGTGCGCACTGCGATGTAGGTGATGTAGGCTAAGAAAAGGTGATTTGAGTGTCAGGTGAAGGTTAAGTAGAGAGAAAGAGGGATGGATGATTGTGTGAGGAGGGGTAACTTTATGTCAATAGATCAGTAGCTGCACGGCGAGAATAAAGCAAGGCAGAAACCTCACGGTGAAGGTGAGTCGGCAACACTGCGAGGAGGCTAGGGCCCTGCTCTCATACCTGATTTTCCTCACCTTGGAGAGTGTGACTTAGAAACAAGGCATTATGGCAACGCATGCGAGGCAGATTTGTAGAGGTAGAAGGCTGTAACCAACTCACGACCTAAGGCGATAGTGTTGCTTTTCAGAGGTTTGTGTGCACTATTTGGTAATTTGCATCATGACTTCAAAGTTCTGCGATGCACACGAGAAAACGACACACAGATAACGAGCTATGTCTACAATAATTCATATTATAATCCCTAATGCTGTAACCTTGCAAATAACTCAAGTACATCCTACCTGAAAAGAATTACAAGTCAGCTATTCCAGTGGTTCAAGACTTTGCCTTGCGAGACCTCTCACTCTGCCTGGGTCAGAGACGGCATGCCCTATACCTACATAATACAGTCATTTTCTGTCTCTCCATTTCCCTTCAAATCTTCCTGCATATTACCCGTTACTTCTTCTACTGCCGCAGCGCTTCCTTGTAGATTCAGTGTCGGTATAGGGCGCCTCTTCTTTTTGTGCCACTCCCTCCACAAATGGCATACATGCTCCCTATTCGCAGGGTTCTTAACATGAATACCCAGCGTCATCGGTATGCCATATTCTGCTTCTGGATGCGCATCCCTGGTCTCCTGCTTTATTGCTGTCGTGCTGCTCCTTTCATTCATCTGCCTCGCCTCAAGAACAAAGTAGTGCGCCCAACAAGGCTCGAACTTGAAGACTTGTTCGCGTCGCCAGGGCGTGCGTCTCGTGGTATTGTTTGCTTTTCCGAATGGCAACTTCTCAGATTCGTCTAGAAGGTCGTCGAAAACTTTCTCGCAGATGTACGTGAGGGAAATCTCGGTGGGGGTTTCTTTTGCGCGCAGAAGCCACCACTTGCGGAGGCGCTGGACAACGTTTTGGTATGCGATTTGGGGCATAAGACCACACGGGGGAAGTTCGCAGCCGAAAAGTGGAGGCACTTTAATCGATATTGTGTTAGTGCTTGTAAAAAATGATGCTGTCCAGTCGCAAGAGATCCATTGTAAACGTACTGTATGGCAGCAAAGCAAGCTCGTCCTCAGGGCGCACCGTACCGTTCTCATCTTGCCTGTCATCCTGGTTAGATGCGTCATTACCGCTAATAATTTTGAAGGGCAACTCGCACCGTTCTGGAGAGTCTTCTACGATGTGTTAGCTATTTGACATGCCGTATAATTTCTAGGCGGAATTAGAATACCTTCGTATATTGTCAGTGACTGTATAGCGCCTCGAGGGTTGGAACCAGATCCTATCCAAGCCATGGTTAACGATGGCATTCAATGCAGTAATACTGCTGCGCTGAAAATGTCGAGGGGTTGGGGTAGGGAGAGTGGGTGGTGCAGGGTAAAGATAAAGACAAAGAGCGAAGTGAATGTTAAGACTAGGGAGCAATCGTTTGTGCCTGCCTGGTCAAATATGCAAACGCAAGCACACAAGTTAGCATTTGGATGAGACAAACACATACATGGAAGGATGATACTTTTTGAAACAGCAGGAATATGTGCATACAAGATTTTGAAACGAGTCATATGGGTACTTGATCACTTGAGGAACCAAACTATGATTCTATCACTGTCAAAGCTTGAAGACGGTAAAGCCCCTCAAAACTATACTGCAGCAACTACAAAGCCTTGCCCATGAACTTTCTCTTTGTGTAGCTCAACCACCACTTGCTAGGAGTGTTGGTATCGTCTGCGTATACCCTGTTGAGTAACCGTGTTGCCAACTCCTGGCGCATCTGCATGATGTACTGTCGCAGCACTTCGGCCGAGTTCCTGTCTGGAGGCGCTTCGAAAGCCTGGTTCAGTGGGAATCCAGCGTCGCCAGGAATTGCAAAGTTTGTATCAAGAGCGGAGTTCATGACAGCCTGTTTGATTGAGTCAGCCCCGGCTCTATATTCTTGTCGCAGCTACCACGTACCTTCTCAGCTTCTCTCCGGCTCATGTTGGGCTTGATCTTGCCCAGCACTTCGCTCACATAGAGGATGCCATAGATGAGCACACGGTCGGCTGCTCCCTTGATCTCAAAGTTGCGGAAGAATGTGTTGGCACGGAACAGGGCGAGAACCTCATCTAGGGGGTCGTAGGAATCGTGTGAGGCTTCAATGGTGAGCTCGGTAACATCTGCGGGCAGAGCAGGCAATTGGACAGCGGGCCCACGAGTGCGTGTACGAAGAGGAAGGAGGGCAAAGTTGCCTATTGTAGCAGTCAATCAAGGTATACTCATCAAAGTTGGATGGGGGAGCGTCCTACCAATCAATTGCTGGTTGGGCTCATCGAGGAAGACTGAGTGGTAGGCCTGGCGGGGTGTCAGCTATCAAGATGTTTGGGGATGTTTTCTTCGACAGTACTCGTCTGTCTGCGATAGTTCAAGACTCACAGGCATTTTGGAATGTGGGTGCCCGCAGATTGTTGTTCTGGGTCGTGTGCTTTGAGCTCGGCGGAGGTGACGGCGTAGCTCCGCTGGCCGACTGTATGAGGTGTGCTCGTAGGGCTGAGCCGTGGGGCGGGGGTGACTAAGCCGCCGACAATTAACGCGTCTCTTCACGCGGCGCGTCTGCCCTGACTTTGTTAGCACCAGCCCAGCATCCTACACATTGCAACATCCCTGCACTCACCGCTCCAACCTGACCTCAAAACCATACAAAGTGCACCGAATTGACACGAATCAATTCTCTCACCATGTCGGACATTGAAGATGAAATGGACGTTGATGCGCCCGTTGACAAGTCCGTCAGCTTTGGCGGAGACTCGAAAAAGGGCAAGCGGAGTGCCGCCAATCTGCCTGTAGAAGCTGAAGACACATTGCCATGGTATGTGTCTACATGTGACACGATTGCACCTTTCCTAAAGCTTGCATAGGGTAGAAAAGTACCGACCAGCATCTCTCGACGACGTAGAAGGCCACAAAGACATCATAGCCACAATCAACAAATTCGTCGACTCAAACGTAAGGTCTTTGCCCTGTACAAAGGCCACTCGCTAACCCCAGTAGCGATTACCACATCTTCTCCTCTATGGTCCTCCAGGAACTGGAAAAACTTCGACCGTCCTGGCACTCGCACGACGCATATACGGAAACAAGAACATGCGGCAGATGGTTCTCGAACTAAACGCATCAGATGACAGAGGTATTGAAGTGGTCAGAGAGCAGATTAAGACATTCAGCAGTACCAAGCAAATCTTCTCTGCCGCACCCAAAACAGGAGACTCTTCGCTGGCAACTTTCAAACTCATTATCCTCGATGAAGCCGATGCCATGACTTCCACTGCTCAGATGGCATTGAGACGAATCATGGAGAAGTACACAGCAAACACACGTTTTTGCATCATCGCAAACTACACACACAAACTCTCACCTGCCCTGCTCTCCCGTTGTACGAGATTTCGATTTTCGCCGCTCAAGGACCAGGACATTAGGCACCTAGTCGACAAGGTGATTGAGGAGGAAAAGGTCAACATTACACAAGACGCCACCGATTCGCTTGTCACTCTGAGCAAGGGTGATATGAGACGAGCACTCAACGTGCTACAGGCGTGCCACGCTTCCAGTACACCACTCCAGCCCCCAGGCAAGCCCGCGGTCGACCCGAGTTCAATCGTGCGTGACCAAATCACTCAGACTACCATCTATGACTGTATAGCAGCCCCACATCCTTCAGACATCAAGTACATCATCGAAACACTGCTGTCTAAAAATGACATGACAGAGTGTTTGCGGACCATAAATAATCTCAAGACATTGAAGGGACTGGCGCTCGCAGATATTCTAACAGCGATTAGCGAAGAGCTGGTCGCGAATGATGTGCCGCCACAAGTTATGGTGACATGGATGTCAGGTCTGGCAGACATTGAGTATAGGCTGAGCGGAGGTGGTAGTGAAGCGATCCAGACTGGTGCAGCGATTGGTGTTGTAAGGACAGGGGTGGAGCTTCTGGAAAACGGCAAGAGGTGATGCATGCATGCCCAATGAGGGGCTCGTCTTATACTAAGCAAGAGTGAAAGTGACGAAATGCTCAAAATGATACCATTTAGTTGTCGCCATGGCAGCGTGATCAACACGAATCCACACCTAGAGTATCCCAGTTGTGAACGGACCCTAACTTGGTGGGGCATTTGTGTATCAAAACACGGAGATTCACCCCGGTGATAGGATGGGAGCCACGTTCGGCGCTAACCGCGCTAGTCAGCCTTCACGCGACCCCAACGCGCAGCCTACTGAAGTAGCCTAGATATACTCCAAACACCACCCCATCAATAAACAGCGACCTTCAAAACCACCCACTGATACTAGAATTGAGTTGACCTTTTCGCTGCTGTGATCGATATTGGGTCAGCTATTATTTTCGAGAATTACCCCTCAGTCTCTAAACATGCCCGTCAACGTAGGTCTTCTTAAGAACCAGATAAGCAGAGTTTGTAGCTGAAGAGTAGCAGAAGGGAAGAGGCCCTACAAGAAAGCGGCTGAGTACGCGCCGGAGTTTTGATCCCATCCCACTTCCTGTATCCAAAGAGACCGTCAGCCTGCAGGAGCGACGATTTATGAGTGGCAAGACTAAACGACCGACTAGGTGGCGAGGACCGGTGAGTCGCATTGCTCGCTCTTGATTCTGGGATGTTATCTTAACCTTTTTGCATAGAAGAATGTAGATGCGACTCTGACAACCTGGATGGAACACCCAGCGCCCGCCGTAAAGTCGCAGGCGGTGGTGCGATCAACACAGAAACAGATACAAAAGTCAGAGAACGAGCAAGCAAAGCCGCAAAACGTTGAACTCAGATTCTCATTCTCGGTACCACCTGATGAGCCTCCAGCCCGGAGAGGCCGCGAAGAAGCATTCACCCAAAGTTTCTCCGGACTTACTATGACTGGCAGCGCAAACCGGTCCGTCTCTGCAAATCCACCTCAAACCAGGGCGTCACCATCTCAGGAACCGCGCCGGCATTCAGAGTCTACCTCGCAAGCACCCCAGCTAGCGAAACCAAAGAAGAAGCGAGAAGGTTATGGCTTCAGCTACTCTGAAACCTTCATGTGCGACTCAGATGATTACCCAGACACTGAATGCGACTGGGATTCTGATGAACAGCATCCATCGGACCAAGACACTGGCTACTCTGCGCAACCCAGCCCTTGTCTCAACTGGAACGGAACAGAGAAAACTCCGCGACCGACTTCCAGAGATTCAACATCGACAATCGAAGACCAGTCTTTCAACGATCTTGTGGTTTTGCGTGACGTCGGCTCGTTCCATCTCGCGCGCCCCCAGCGCGTTCTACCTTGTACACGTGCCACCCGAGAAGACACGCTGCGTCTCAAAATCCGTGCCAAAGCGCTCGTCGCCCGATTTGAAGAATCTAGTGACATCCAAGCACAGCTGCTAACTCGCATGGAGCGCATGATGTACGCTGAGCAGCAACGACAAAGGTCGCCCGGTCAATCGAATTCCATGGCCAAGTGTGCACTCAAGCTACGCGATTTCCTGCTCAAGGTGAAGGAAGAGAGGGTTGAGACGGGCGAGCATTCCACAATTGTTGAGCATGAGATTGAGTGGGCGGAGTGGTTGGTTGAGGCTAGTCGGACGGGCGTCATGCATGTCCGGAGTGAAGGGTGCACGTGCCGTCCGGATTGGGATCCGGAGTGAGAAGTTGGGAAGGGTGCCGAAGAAACTTATTACATTGGAGGATTTGAGCCATACGTGGACTCGCAAGTGCGGTCCTACACTCCAGCAGCATGTTAAGACGATCTTTCCTGAAGCAGCTCTTACGCAGAGGCCCCGATAGCCCCGTGCTATCCGTGTTCCGGTGCCATGCCAACGATACTATGTCCGAGAATTCAAGGCACTGCAAGGCAAAGCTAGACAAAAGCCGGATCTAGCACTTCCTTTTTAAGGATGCAAGCAAGAAGACCCTGATCCGAAGTCGCTAAATCTTATATCTGCTACGCTCATCGAACGCAGATTCACCTTTCAACTCGAGACCATACCAAACCAAGTATCCAAAGCCATCAAAGCAAAAAATATACATTAAGCAATCTCAATTTTATCCTACACGCGTCTTACTCTGATCTATGGTATCAACCACGTGCACACCCTCCATCCACAACCAACCAAACCCAAACGATCAAACCCGGAAGAACACTCAAGATAGAAAAACCCCTCTGTGTACGAAGCGAGCCTGAGCCACAATGTTGCTAGCGTGGATCATACTTCCTGCTCTTCAAGCAAGAAAAAGAAGAAGAAGAAGAATAAACCATGAGAGGCTGATTGCGTGCCAAAAATGTCGAAGCAGAACGCCCAGAAAATGCAAAGAATCGACACAAGTTTTGCCCCTCTTGTTGCCTATACGCGCGTGCACCGAAATGTGTGTATAGTGTCGCACAACCGCTTTCCACAGCAAAACAGCAGCAGAAAAAAAAGAGAGAAGTAAGAAGGAGAGACTCCAATCTGTGTTATCCCCCCCTGTTGGCATCTCCTCACTTCACAGACGCGCGCATCCACCTAAAAATACAAAGAAAGAGAAGACTGGAAATGTGCGTTTGATCTACGTTCTTCCCCAGTTCCTTCCGTCAATTTCGGAGTGTCAGCCATGTAATTCTCTCCTCCATTTGTGCGAGCAACCCAACCTCACAAACGGGCCAGGTCGCCACAAACAAAGAATGCGAAGAAGAAAGAAAAAGACCGGACCAAACCTTGATCACTATCATCATCTCCTCCTATAGATATCCGAGACATCCCTGCCCCTTCCATTGCCATTTCCATTCGCATCTCTGCGCTCGGGGCTCCTCGACCGCGTGCGCGCATCCCGCCTCTCCTGCACAAAGTTTCCTCTATTGCCGCCTCGATGGTCGCGGTCACGATCGCGATACGCGCGGCTCCGATCAGTACGGTCGTCAGTGTAGCCCTCGCGGGAATTACCAGAGTCGCGGGAGCCGCGGCGCGGACGGTCGTCTGGTTCACGGGAGCGACGGTGTCCGTCTCCGCCGTAGCTAGGGATGTAGGTGTCGCCGGGGGGGACGGGGCCTCTGCGTCGGTCTGCGCTATCGGGACCGTAGCGGGGGACGGGAGGGAGCGGGTGGCGGCCGTCTGCTGGGGGAGCGGGGAGGTTGTTGTGGCCGCGGTCGCCACCGCCCCAGTTTGGACGTCGTTCGCCTGGGGGAGGGGGTGGAGGTGGTCGGTGTTCGTAGCCTCGTCGGTCGTAGCCGCCACCGCCACCGCCTCTGAGACCGCGGTCGACGCCGGGTGGTCCTCGATCCTGTGGGCCGCCGTATCTTCGGTCGTTGCTTTGCCATGGCTGTGGTGGTGGGCCTTGGCCTGTCCATTCTCCGTTGGGTCCTCCACCTACAGTACCACCTTGTGGCGCAGGAGGAAGTGCTTGTCTTTGGCCACGCGCGTTCCGGCGATCCAGCTCGTGTGAGTCGGCAAAGTGAGGAATGTCTTCTTCGCGCATCGGTAATGGTTCTTCTCGGAAGTATGGATGGTCGATGGCATCAATCGCGTTGATACGTTTCCGCCAGTCCAGTCTCATGAGGTCCTTGATAAGCGAGAGTCCAAGGGGCGATAGTTCACGGAATCTTTGCGCAATATTTCCTGTACTTGTTGGGAACGCGCGAATAGGTTCCGCTCCTGGTAGTTCGTTCCAGCCCGGCATGCTCGTATCATTCGGAGACCCAACCAGCTCGAAGATAATCTGTGCCTGATGTATGTCGCTTTGACCGGTGAGGATGGGCTTGCGCTTGAACATTTCACCAAAGACACAGCCTGCGCCCCACATATCAATCGCCGGTGTGTATCTTCGGAGTTGCAAGAGCAGTTCTGGCGGTCGGTACCACCTAGTAACAACTAGTGAAGTGTATTCGCGTTTTGCCTCACCATTACCCCTGCCTCTTTGTGGAACCGGTTCGTCGTAGTGTCTGGCAAGACCGAAATCGGCTATCTGCAGTCGCCCAGAGTTATTGATCAAAAGGTTGGCTGCCTTCATGTCTCGATGTAAAATATGGTTGTCATGTAGGTATGCTAGACCCTTGAACAACTGCAGCATGTAACACTTGATCTGCGGTGGTTTGAACTGGACTTCGGGATTGTCGAGGAGACCTGACAGATCGTGGTCCATGTACGGCGTGACCATGTACAGTATTGCACGTTTCCTGCCTTCGGTTTTGGGCCGCTCTACAGCCATTTCTTCTAGTTTCAGGACGTTATCGTGTGACAGCATCTTGAGGAGCTTGATTTCTCGCAGCGCCGTGATGGGAAAACCATCTTTCTCGTTGTGCATCAAAATCTTCTTGAGCGCAAAGACATGGCCGGTAGATCGCTGACGCGCCTTGTGGACTTCACCAAAAGTGCCTTCGCCCAGTTTCTGCATCATCTCGTACTCGCCGATCTTGCAGCACCCCTTGAATTGGCGCTGGAGGGTGCGCGACGGGGGGGCACCCGCCGGAGTCGCCATACCGGCGGTGGTGTTAATGATACGTGATCCTCAAGGGTCCGCAGGCACGCTTCCTACTCTGGGCTAAGTGGGCCGCGGCGTTAACGTATGCAGCGAGGGTGAGCGCGATGTATCGGTCGGTGTCTTTGCAGCGCTGAGTTTGTGGTCGCGATGGCGGGCGCTGGTATGGGCGGGGGGCTCGAGGCCAAAGCTGCTGGGCAGAGATGACGATTGTGGTCGGGATTGTCGCGGGTGAAGGAGCAGAAGCCGCGATTGACGGTTGATGGGGCGATCTTGGCACCGCAGTGTTAGCGTAGTCCGCGATCGACCTTAATCACACCTCACCCACCAAAAGCGTCACAGTGCCATTGCACCCCAGACACTGCAGGTAAGCGCATTGTTGCACTCCCCAAAGCTGACGCAGGTATTGATATTTCCGCAGGCTCAACAGACACGATGCAACCTACACGCTCTCGCATGGGCCCGCCCAAATATGCGCCGCACCCAAACCACCCCATCCACATCCACCCGGTCAGGCCGCTATACCGATTCATGGCAACGGGTCTCGGCGCGTCAATGTGGTTCTTCGTATGTTAGAGATCTGGTAGGAGCGATACAGGTGCTAACAGGTGCAGTTGATGTACCGCGCGAAGAAGGACGGCCCCGCGCTTTTGGGCTGGAAGCACCCATGGGACCATTGAACAATGAATGCAGGGCGTTGGGCGTGGAGAGAGAGCCTAGAAGATATCCACACGAGGCATGCTCAATTGCACAGACAATGGAGTGCTCGAGATAGACACCACAGCCAGTGGCTGCAATGTCCCGTGTGAACAGCGCCAAGAAGTTCGCATCAATGCAAAATAGAGCAATCGCGTCATATGCAGTTTTGTTGATTCTTCATTTTACGGTTTCATGAAATTCAGAGTGATATCTATGAATTTAGTTTTTTTAGACATTATGCGAGTCTGCACTCGCCTTCAGCAACTCTCACCAGTCTTCGTAACTTATGCGGAAGGCTTCTCAAACAGATAGTGGCTGACACCCCATGTATCGCCCCCATTCCACCTGAACAACTCGGAGCAAGCCATGTGGAAAACCTGCCACCTATTCCACCAAGTCAACGCACCCTCCTCTCCATACGTCTCTACCAGTCCTTTCCAGATACTCTCCTTGTTCTTCAACATGGTAACCAACCAATCCTCACACGTCTTTGAGTAGTGCATACCAGACACCCACCACTGGTTCTTGACTCTCAAGTCATCTTGGAAGTACAGCAATAAATCAGCCGAAGGCATAGTACCGCCCGTGAAGAAATGCTCCGTCATCCAACCCTCTTCGAAATCATACGGAGTCGTGCAGTGCGCAAAGATATGAACAAAGAGCTTGCCACCAGGTTTCAGAGCAGAACTGACTTTACGCAGCAGAAGCTGGTAATTCTTCATGTGCTCAAAGAGCTCAATGGAAATGACGCGGTCGTATGCCTCGGGCTGGAACTCATAGTCGACAACATCGCCCGTGATGATGGTCAAGTTCTTTAGTCCTTTTGATACAGCAACGCTGTCAATGTACTCTTTTTGTGTTTTTGAGTTTGAAAAACCAGTGATTTTGGAGTTGGGGAACATTTCCGCCATGAAGAGGGATGCTGAGCCCCAGCCACATCTATGACCATTGTTAGCCATCTCGTGTTGAACATATTGCTTACCTGGCTTCGGGATGCACGTGATTTTCGTGCGGTAAATGCTGTAAACGCAAAATCAGAGAAGAGATGGAAACTTACCCAAGGTCCAAAATGCTCATTCCATCCTTCAATTCGGCCCTCTCGATATATAATCGCATCATGGCAATCTCGGCCTGCGCCAGCGTCTCCCCGCCCTTCTCATACAAACAGGCCGAATACTTCATCCGCGGGCCTAACATGCCCTTGAGAACACTCGTCCCTACCTCATAGTGCTGCTCGTTTGCCGTCGCAGTCGCAATTGCAATTGGCCTTTCCCGGAGAAGCTTGACGTACTTCATCTTGGTCTCGTAAGCAGACTCCAGGGACGTAGTTGCTATCGACTGTAGGCGATCGGCTAGCTGGCGCCTGATTCCTACACGGATCACCGCATGTGGGAGGTAGCCATTGTCCAGGAGGGGATTAATAACCGCATCCGAGTTGACGAGGTCTAGCAAGTGATTTAGTTGAGTTGAGATGGTATACGGTTTGGAAGCTATGTACTTGATATGTAGTTCATGGCGGGCAACTTGCTCTTCCAGACCAGCGCTTGCAGCCGCGTCGACGTGAGCGAGGGGAATGTGAGTATGGCAAAAAAACGAATGTCTTCTACTCTGGACACGTGAAGCTATCGTCTACCTATACGCTCTGCGACTCGGCTCCGGAGGGTTTTGTAGTGTGCCAAATAAGGCTTAGCGGCGGGTTAATGACGTCAACCATTAGTCGACATAGTCCGTCCATCGCTGAAACCGTCCGAAAACGGTCAACAACGGAGGATTTGGTCGCTTTGTGAAGATTGTGAGATATCTTTTGGTAAATTCTGCTAAGTGGGAAGTTAGCCAATCAAGAGTTTTGCGCCGAGCCACGTGAGATGAGAGTAAGTGCGTATAAGTTGGCCAATGATCTCTCGCAGCTAGATATAAGGTATTTGAACTAAACAGTAAAGGAGGAAGTTATGGCATATGAGTGGTTAAGATGGCCATGATTTTATGCAATATGCTCTGATCCTTGACTTCTTGTCATATTCATCGCCCGCAAACACAATCACTATGGGCGAAAAAAAGAACGTAAGATTGTATATTGTACTTAGGCATGTAGGAGGGTGATCAATCTAACAAATACTAAGATCCATCTAAAATTGGAACAAGAGAGACTACCAGACAATGCACGTGATCATACACGCTGCTTATTTTGCCAAAAGATAAGGCACACGACAGTGAGGCTGTTGACTGCTGTGTGTGGTATGTACTTATATATATACTTGATCGCCGCTGTAGTCAGAAGTTTGTTCGATACAGTCTCCGATCCATGTCTGATGAATAGCATGGAAATCCGATCATTTTGATTGCTGATCGCTGCCGTAATCATTTAACGAACCGATGACACAGTCGAGGTCTCATAACTATGTCCAGTCCGTCACGATCGCACAACACGCAACCACAGAAACAATGCATACAAGACGGTAATGTAAAAGTATAATCTTCGAGTGAGGCTGGATAGAGAGTTTTAGATACGCTTGCAATGATGAAGCGACAATCGAATACTACATGCTGATGCCTAAATAATAATTTAGCCAGGAAAAAGAAAAAAACCATCTCTTATTTAGTACAACAGAACCAAGTGAAAACGCTGATGCAGCGAATTGTGCTGCGGTCTTTGTAATTTTATGCTACTGGGCGTGACTCGAGGCACATGGTCACGTGTAAATATAATAACCGGCCGGTGTGCAAAAGCTGACATCTCACCCAATTGCTGAACCGTCCCAGCGCTGACTTGCTGTAACATGCATCATATGGCAATTACCGAAACCCTTGCCACCAATTTCCTGATGCAATGCAACTGCCGAAGGAATAAGAGAAAGCTAACAACGACCGGTTTTAAGCTACCTTCGCTTCATCTTACCGGCCGAAAGCAATGATGTGCGAGGCGTGAAGCAATGCTACATTCTCAAAAATACGCAGAAATCAGGGCAGTAAAATGCTGTTCACCAGTTTCCTGCCAAAAGTCATGTTGTACACGCCAAGAAGCGTCAATACAAGAGGGCTGCGTGTAGTAGAGATCATCCAAGTATATGTAACGACCTTCGGCGGTTTTTCTCTGTATAAAAACAGATATGCGGACTACTGCTATCCCTGCGAACAGCCCTGGCTGACATTGTTCGCTCTTCACAGAAAACTCACGCCACTGCTGTTAAGCCACAGTACAAGGCTCGATGGCTGCGACCGATTAACGGACCGACCCAATGGATTTCCACGAGATTTTTGACTCTGCATCCGACCTCGACCCATTAAACTGCTGAATCTAGGGTAAAACCTAGTAGCATTCGTTTCCCCACAAAATTCGCTAATCGTTCCCATAAGTGTGAAGGGCCCCCGGAATAAAGCCGGTGAGGCCTCAAGCCAAGTGACCACCAACTAGGATAGAACAGCACTACCATCTAGCGCTGATCTGTCTGATGTCAATGGTACCAAGCTAGGAATTCAAAGTTTACCTTAGCGATGATTACAGAACAGCATCAGGCTGACAAGGATAGGGCGACTAGCACTATACCAAATCCAGCATTATGTGACAACAAAGCTATGTACCCAGCCGACCTTTCGCTGATTCAGATGTCATTGATTGTTGAAAGAGGTACTGGGTTATAGTATTCGACTAACCAAATTGATATTATGAGTGTCCTATGGTGTTTTGTTACGTCTTTGACCGAAAACTGCCATACCTGCAGCGACCCCTGCATTTCTGGTGGCGTGGGAAAGGGGGCAGGCAATTGAGCGGCAAACGAAAAAAACCTGGGGTAGTGTAGGCGGTATGGCCGAAGTTCAGCTGTGAGTGTGACACTAAAAGAGGGGGCAAAGACACGTATAAATCTACACCAGTTTGCCTCGAGTAACGCACAAACATCTACCCCCGAACACTGACTGCCTGAGAAACTCGAAACTGATTTCCACGATGCGCTTTGCGTTTCTTTCCTCGAAAATCGCTACGTCTATCTCTATACTTGCAGTACCAACCGGTCTGCATGCTAGAGTCGACGTGTTGGTGGAGCCTCGGGCAACTCCTGCTAAGCCGGCGCTGTGTGTGCGCGACCCCAGCACCACGAAAGAGCAGAACGAGGCTCAGTTCGATGCTTTTGTGCAGGCCTTGATCTACAAGCCTGATATTACTGAAGCATTTTCATATATTGCCCAGGACTATGTTGTAAGCATGCTTCGTTCCGGGCGAAGGGATCTATAAAGTGAGTTGACCTCAGGCTGCAACAACAGAACCACAGTGTTTCAGGGTCAAATGGATTTGACACTGGATGGAATGCTCTGTCGCTCACTTGGGACCCGTCAAGCATCACGCCACTAGACGCAACGTTCCGGTATCCTCAGGGCTAGGTGAAGTATAAAAAGCAGTTCAAAGAGGTTGTTGGGCGGTTCCGTATGGATGGTGGATGCATTGTTGAGCACGTGAGTGTATCTGTCTTCAAGGAGCACGCCAGGGGTACAACGCAAGAAACTGACTTGAAATTGTGCAGTGGGCCCAGAACGAAGAACTCCCACTGAAGGCCCTGAAAGTGAAGAGATCACACCCAAGCCCTATCACCCATTGCTATACCTCTTAAGTAACTTTCGAGGACCTTGAATGATGTGTTTCATGCACAATCTTTCAAGAAACAGTGCCACAATGTGGTGTTTGGTGTTCATCTCTGTGAGATGGACCTGCCATGCGACGGTCAAGATGACAATCATGAATCTCATATAAGTATCAATACAGGGGGAATTTCGAATGGAGAGTAACGATGATACCCAAGGGCAAAGTTGAGATGTATGAGACATGAGACATGAGACATGAGAAATGAGAAATGAGGTTGTAAATGTAAATGCGAATGTGTATGAGATTCGGAGGCGTGAATCAGGTTTAATGCACAAGGCTGATTTCTCGTCCTGATCCCCCTTTTCATACAGTTCGTCATTCTCCTGGTTAGCTTTTAATAGCAGGCTTCTACCCTGAGCGGGCAGCTGCTCAGGCTCAATGCACTCATCTCATGCTGGTGGCTGTGAGACCAGATTCGATAAGATAAAATCAAATCAACATAATGTGGATTGCAACAAGTAAACTAAGAAACTCGGCAAGAGATGAATGGATAAGAGTTAGGCCTCCAATTAAATATGCGTGTGGTTATAGGTCCCCACTGTTATGTGCTTTTGTAGGATCTGATGGTTTTACGATGTTACGTTGGTGGTTCTTCATGATTGAAATTGGAAAATTCCGGCTGCGGGATTTGCCCAAAACTTGTACACTCCGCAATATGGCGCAAATATGTCACCTTCCTTATTTTACGCATTATTGACCGGAATCCAGGAGAACCACTCAGCTTAGTCCATGGTAACTCAAGTGTGGATATGCATGCTTTAGTCTTGCAACGGACACTTCACAGTCTGACTGCATCTGATAAGCTCCGGTGTCACAGCGCCTACAGCAGACCATTGGGCTCCTTAACAGCTACATGGTGTTTCTGCAAAGTCAGCTGGAGCCGTCGAAGAGTCGCAGCGACGAAGAGTGGGAGAAGGGAAAAACAGCGGACACGCTCGGGCACGTGAACAGTTCGCGATGGAACTGCCGACAGTTCGGATCAACGCTCATCTGGCGTGCATGCATCGCCCCGTCCCTGCAGCCTTTTCTTTTAACCGGTGCAGCTGTCTCGGCGTCTCGGATCTAGCCCGAAGGATTCGCTGGCGTCGCGCGGCGTCTGCATCCCCTGCAGTGTGTACAGCGCCGATTGCGGGCGCGGACTTTTGACTCAGGGCTCCCCGCTAAAAGCACTCGAGAATTCGCTCAATCCTCACAACCCCATACTTCGCACTACACACGTCATCTACTGTTCAACACATTCGTCCCAAGACACTCTCGCCACTTATATACTCTCCAGAAAAATCTGCACGCGCAATTGACCAGAGCTTAACTCAAGAAGCCGCCTCTTCAAAATGTCAGCATACACAAACGGACACACCCACGAGTCGGAGCGGATAGCCCACACGGAAGAGAAGCATCTTCCTGGAGGATGGGTGGTCCTCAAGTTCGGTGGTACAAGTGTTGGCAAGTTCCCGGAGAATATAGCGGACATTGTCAAGTACGACGCCCATTCGAATGCGCAAGATGAGCACAAAGCACTAACCCTTCATAGAGTCGGTCTTCAGACGAATCGCGCCGCTATAGTCTGCTCTGCGCGCAGCAACAACACAAAGCTCGAAGGAACCACCAACCGCCTCCTTCGTGCCGCTCGAGCTGCCGAGAGACCCAACCACCGGGCCTACGATGAAATCGTCGAAGCCATCCGCCTTGACCATATCCAGGCGGGCAAGGATATTTTGAAGAGCCCGGAAATTCTGGCGTCTTATACCGAAGAGGTCAACGCCGAGTGCGAGAGTCTGATCAAGATCTTGGAGTCCGCCCAGCATCTCGAGGAGGTCACCAACCACACCGAGGACAAGATTATCAGCAAGGGCGAGAAGCTGAGCTGTCGCTACATGGCTGCGATACTGAACGATCGTGGCACGCGTGCCCAATTCGTCGACCTCAGCGACGTGGTCAAGCCTAATGCACCCATCAAAGGAGGATTGCAGGAAAAGTTCTACAAGGACTTGGCTGCCGACTTCGCTAGCCAGGTGGAAGCATGTGGAGACAAGGTCCCGGTCATTACCGGTTTCTTTGGAAATGTGCCCGGCGGTCTCTTGACTTCAATCGGACGCGGATATACGGATCTATGCGCTGCCTTGGTTGCCGTTGGCATAAAGGCGAAGGAACTGCAAGTCTGGAAAGAGGTGGATGGAATCTTCACCGCCGACCCGCGCAAAGTCCCTACCGCAGCGCTTCTCCCCAGCGTTACTCCTGCAGAGGCTGCTGAATTGACATTCTACGGATCCGAAGTCATTCACCCCTTCACCATGGAGCAGGTTATTCGCGCCCGCATCCCCATTCGCATCAAGAACGTCATGAACCCACGCAATGCTGGAACCATCATCTTCCCTGACAACCTCCGGGATATTGACGACCGTGCGCCTTTGAAGGATACCGGACTCTTCCGCACTCGCTCTTCGAGTCTCCTTACTCAGCTTGAAGGGCCTAAGCGACCCACCGCTGTGACGATCAAGCACAACATTGTTGTACTCAACGTTCACAGCAACAAGCGCACTCGTGCCCATGGTTTCTTGATGAACATCTTCAATATCCTTGACAACTGGCGATTGTCTGTTGATCTCATCTCTTCGTCTGAGGTGCACGTGTCCATGGCCTTGCACTCCGAGTCTGCTCTTCTAAGCGGCGGAGGTGAGGACGACTACAAGATCCAGTCCAAGGATCTCCAAGGTGCTGTCAATGATCTTGGTGCCCTTGGTACCATTGACATTGTACCCGACATGGCTATTGTAAGTTTGGTGGGTAAGCAGCTGAAGAACATGATTGGTATCTCCGGCAAGTTCTTTAGCGTGTTGGGTCAGAACAACATCAATATCGAAATGATCTCGCAAGGTATGTCATAATTTTACTCATGTGTTTGGAAAATTCAGCCGCTAACTCGGCGTAGGCGCCAGCGAGATTAACATATCTTGCGTCATTGAGGAGCGCGAAGCCGACCGCGCCCTTAATGTTGTACATACAAATCTTTTCACATTCTTAGAATAGGTCTTGCTTTGCATCAGTGGAGTTGGATACCATTTGAAAAGACTTACTGCATAATACTAAAGCCATGTCTCGTTTCATTTTCGCATACCCCTCTCACAGTGTTTCTCGTCTGGCTGGCGCTTCACCTCGAATTGCGCGTTTGCAGGTTTGCACAATGTCCAGAACCTGACACGACGCGCAAATGCTGAACAATGATTGCGCGTGACTTGACCTCACGTTGTATAAACCGTTCACTGAGCAGCTTTCACTTTCACGCCCGGTCTTGGCAACGGTATAGGTAGGACTTCTGTCAGAGATCTCTTCCCACAATCGCAGCAGGCAGACATACCGGTCACAACTGCTATTCCGAAAACCTCAGATAAGTCTCCTTTCTTCCTTCAGTAGAAGGCCTTATCAAGGTCTGTATGGAAGCCGCTATGGAAGACCCTGTGGGAGACCCCATGGCAATCCCTGTTGAAGCCCCCGTCGAAGCTCCCATCCAAACCCCTACCGAAGACTCCGTGGAAGATCCTGTGGACAAAGAGAAGAACAAGAAACAGATATCCCCGCTTACAGGCAAGGAGCTGAGCAAACACGAGAAATGGGGCTTGAAATATCTCGAAATAGAGCAGCACCCGGTCTTCTGGGAGCGGGTTATCTATTGGTGTAGAGAGTGGTTTACGGAGGCCAAGTGGAGGGAGGTTGTACGCCGGATTGAGCGGGCCGCAAAAGAAGACAACGTTATCGTATTTGGATGGCATCCACCAATGCAACCTACACATTCGACCACCGCAAAAGGCATCCGTCGGCTACTATGCTTCAGCTCTTCGTCACTGACCTCATCGACTGGCCCGCATCCATTGCGCCCAGCACACCTCCCACGCATCGTCACCTCTTCGTCAGCAAGTGTACGACCTCGGTGGGATGTCGTGGCTTCTGGTCCCCCAACCCCACTATCTGCTACTTCAGGTCTCGTCAAGAATGCCTTTGCTGAGGGAGGTGTATGGGCATCTCTCTCGCCCAAGACACCCGCGAGTATGGCTTCTGTCGCATCAACGCCCATCACTGCCGTACCACTCGGACTCTGGGCATCAGACCCACTCAACGACCCTGATGCCAAAGCGGCCTACGATGAAGTACGTAAAGACGTGAAGAAGATGGCTCTCCATCTTTGTGCCAACCGACACGCCCTTCGCCTATCGTCCGACGGCCAACACGATGTCATCCACCCATCCATGGTCAAGCCCAAAGACGAACTGCAAGCCTCGCAATACGTTCTCGACTCGTGCCAGTTAGAACTCTCGATGCATACCGACCCAAATCTGCCATATAAAATAGAGGAGCTCGCCGATGACGAAGCTTCAAATCTTCGCCATTACAGCATCCAGACGGCCCAGAAACTAGAAGATGTTGATTCATGGCTGAGCATCAATGAATGTACAGGAGAAATTAGTACTACACTTGATGCACAACGCAATCTCTTGCGTATGAATCGTGAGCGGCGCCAGAATCGAGAAATGAAACTTACCGAGGAAGCAGTGCACTGTGCGTGGGCGGCCAAGATAGTCGATGACGCAGAGTACATTGTCAAGTGTCGTGCTGAAGCTGGGGACGAAGATAGCAGCGACGACGAGGGATACGACTATGAGAACTTCATTCGCAGTCTGCGTAGTGCAAGCAGTAGTTGCGTCTCACTAGTCGAAGAGAACACAGCAACTAGAGAACTTATCCTTTGCGATATCTCGACAGGCGCATCCAGCATCGAAGACTTACAGCACTGCACTCGCACACCGGGCTACAGGTCAACCAGCAACCCCACACCCACACCCTCTTCCCACCAAGCATCCGACCTCCCCTTCCACAACCACAACAGCATCCCGACATCCACCTACCACCGCTCCACCAGCACCACATACCGCCCCCGCCCCTGTCCTTGTCCCCATCCCCCCTTCATCACCACAACCACCACCCCCGACATCAGTGCTGACCTCCGCACCTCCCGCCGCCACGCCCCCACCCTCCAAGACCTCACCGACTGGGCCGACGAACTCAAGAAAATGGAACGTAAACGCACCGAACTCCGTCTTACAGGCACACTGACGTACGATACCGATGTGCATCCCGCTTTACGCCCCGTACCTGGTACGCCGCGGTATACTACTCGTGGTAGAGCGACGAGTAGCATGGCGAGTATGGGGAGTAGCGTGAGTTGGAAGTGTGAGACTGCGTCTTTGGTAGAGAGGGAGTGGGAGGGGGCGGTTACGCCAAGGGGAGATAGGGAAGATGTGCGTGGTGGGCTTCGGCTTTCGCCGCCACGTCCGCTTAGTCTTGAGAGTGTGGGAGAAGGGGATGGTGGGGAGGAGCAGCAGCAGCAGCAGCGTTGTGCGAGCGCGAGTTGAAGTGTTGGGCTTGATCGCCGTGTGTCGAGGCAGAGTCGGGAGGAGCAGGATGAGTGGGTTAGGGAGTTGGTGAGGACGGAAAGTAGGGAGAAGATGAGGCAGGCTGAGCGGTTTATGTGAGGTTCAAGAGATGCTGGGATTGTTTCTTCCAGGTTGGAGAAACTTGAGGTTGTGTACATGTGTGGGTTTTCATTCAAGGAAGATGATATCAGATCGATCGTCCGATGGATTTCTTATAGGAATGGGACTGAAGGTATGAGATGAATAGGACAAAAAAACGACGATACGACTAAGAATCAATATAACAGTACACTTGCATCTTAATTTCCATATACTAATTAGTCCTTATACACTCGGACGACAGCAATCTCATGTTCCACATAAACACCGGGTATAATAATAACCAATCCTCCTCTGCATGACAAAAAACAAACAAACGCCAAGTTTACCAGATCTAACAGACATTGCAGCAACAAGAAGGGGCATCGGAACGATCCCTATGAAGCGTCCATGAAAATCATGTCAGTATCGAATAACGAAAAAAGCTTTCTGCGAGATAGATGTGAGGCATCTACATGACAATGCACTTTTCTCTTTCTCCATTTGCACCAGCCGGACCGTTCGTACCGGCACTTGGTCTTCTTCCAGGTCTACCAGGAGCCATGTTTGGTGAACCCATAGGGCGTCCTGCGTTGGGGCGGATACCGGTTGTGCTCTGGTATGCGCTGCCGTGCTGAGGTACCGGGGCTCCGGGGTTGGCGGGGTGGCCTGCTGGTGGGTTGTATCGTGGTGCTGTAGATGCTTCCTCGTATGTTGGAGGTGGAGCAGGTTCTGCAGCGGGACGATGTCCAGTGATGTTGTTTCGACGCGGGGGTATGACTGGAGGTTGTTCAGGCCGAGAGGGAGGACGGACACCACCAGGTTGTGGTACCTGGTTGTTACGTGCACGCTCCCCAGTCTCGCGTCTTTGGCGATCCTCTTCCTCTTCTTGCAACTGTAGTGCTAGCGCGAGGTCATGGTCCTCTTGCTCAGCTCTACTGAGGCCAGTGGGTGATGTCAATTCCGTATCCTGTGCATCAGCCCCTGAAGCAGCTGACTGCTGCTGATTGCCTCGGCGGCCCTGTACCGTAGTCCATCCCTGATTATCTTCAACATCAACGAGATTCTCAGACTGCTGACCATGCTGTCCCGAGGATGAATTGCTGTTGTCGACTGAGCGGAAGTCACCGGAGAAAAGCTGACTTCCCTGACCGTTGACGTCCATGAGCGACTCCCAAACAATCTCGTCGTGAGATGCGTAACCCTGATCGGTAACGAGAGTGACAAGCTGGCCGTTGCGGGGATTCTTGCACAGTGTAGAAAAGTGGTCATTCCGAAAAAGAATGGCAACCTGGCCGGGCTGAAGATTGTCTCGAATGACCTTGAGACCATGGTCAGTCAGCTGAGTCGGCCACCTGTTCAGGAACTCCTTGATGGCATGAATATCCGTAAACATCTGTTGCTCTTCTTCATTCAAAGAGTCACCTGCATTTAGCTTGGTGTTGAGCTCCTCTTCCTGGAACTGAACCAACTGGGACGCTTCGTAAGAAGGAGCTACACGGTTGAAGGCGACAAAGGCATCCGTGCCGGCTTCTGGTAACCATCCATGCATCAGGGGAATGTTGAAGGTCCGATATAGTTTCATGTCCCGAGTGTCCTCGAACGCACCAGCTCGGTTCGTAAGTGTGGCGTGATTGGCAGCTGAGTTAGGGTCCGGGACGAACATGGGGTTGACATTAAGACCAGTGTGTAATGCGAGGAGGAACTTGTATAGCTCGCTTACATCTGGTAGTTCCTGTGCAGCATCACCACGTCGCCCAGACATGAGCTCCTCAAACACAGCATCTAGCAATAGTCCCAGACTGACTGTTTCGCGTGTGCGCAAGGTTTCGACCAGCGCAGTTTCCACGTTTGCGGGAGTGGAGAGAACAAGCGCGTTCACGAGAGCGAGCAGTGGGCATGGTCCATTCAAGTTTTGCGTAAGGATAGGCGAAACGCGCATATTCTTGATGCTATTGTCGAGCCAGCGCACATGCTTGATTTGGTAGTGCTCTTTCCTCTGTCGGTTCATCGCAGTGTTAGGCGACTCTAATCCAGGCGCTGCGCTGGAGCCTACCCCAGTGTCAATGGGTCTTGGAGGCATAGCAGGTGTAAGGTCTTCATGGGATACTCTCGGTGGCAGTGCTGGCGGGTTCTCTTCAGAGGTCGGAGGTGTTGGTTCAGGAGTGTACTGTGGTTGCGGCGGCGTCTGTTGCACAGCAGGGACATTCTCTCGGGCATCTGGGGCAGGCGCCGCACTGGAAGCTACATTGCTGCTGCTAGCGTTGGCTGCTGAGACGGTCCACGGAGTATGCTGAGAGTGTCCTTGGGCAGGCGCAGACTCCCAAGGGTTTGTGTCAATCAGAGTAGCATTGTGTTCGGATTGTGGAGTAGGCGAGTTCACTGCAATGGACGGTGGCTCATACGCGGGAGGAGCAGAGTGTGCGGATGGGGCGCGGTCATCCAGGGCAAGGTTGCGCATCTCATGGGAAGGTGTGCTTGGCGTCTGGTGGGTTGGCAGCTCGACTGGGGCGTCGTACTTGTAAGCATTGCTCACGGAGTCTCCCCAGATGGCTTCGCTGCTTTCTCCGCCCAGGTTGCTCTGGCCAGTTGTCTGCATTTTCAGGTACGGGTTGTTGGTCTGAAGCGGGATGGAACCGTTTGACTGCTCTGATACATTGCTTCTGGCACCATACGACGCAGCACTGCCACCGTATGATGCAGCATTACCACCAGTAGGCATATACGACATGCTTTCGTTCGATCTCTTGATGGGTATACCGGTGGGTGGACCCACCCTTAATGCGTTGGGAAGGCCGTCGGTGACATTAGTTGTCTTGGGCACAGGCGGTATCTTGCCGCCTGCGGGTTTCAGGGCAGCGGGCACCTGCTGGTGATCGACTTCCTCAAATTCATCGTCAGTCTGGCTCCACTCGTCGTCGCTGAGGTCTAAGTCTGATTCATGTCCATTTTTAGGCGGGTGGGCGTCTTGCGATGTCTTGATGTTGAAGGCTGGCGACTTGGATGCGCTTGGCGGGCGTATGCTGTTATCGGGAGTCGAGGGAAGTACAGGGGCGTACTCTTCCGAGGGGGTGGTTGGATATGGAGGGTTTGCCTTGGAGAGCGGCGCTGGCACGAGGCCATCCTGCTCGTCAGGCTTCCGGAGCACCATGGTCGGTGATAGAGAGCCTGGTGACTGGTGGTGTGGTTCGGCGCAGCTCTCGACAAGCCGATGCGCGCGAGTGAAGCTTAAGGTGCGGTTGTTAGTTGGATAGGAGGGAGGAGGCGGAGATGGGTGGGGTAGTGATGGTCGGCGGTAGTTAGGGCCAGCGGTGAATATAATCAGACAGGATACCAGAGCCGAGTGGCATACGCGGCCTCAACAGTCAAGTCCCCAAGTCGCGAACCAAGCGGAGGCGATGACGTGAAGCTAGTGGCTGATGCACCCGAGTGTGGCTGTGCACATGTGGCTCCTCCGGGCCGGATCCCTGCACCCAATCCACTAATTCCAGAACTTCTTCTTTGCGCCTGTCGCCGCCACAGATCAGAGTGCGCCAAATCAATGCCACTCGTCTAAAACACAGTCGCATATGGAATAGATTTATCTTTTACTGGGCATGAGTACGCGCCACCATGCATTCCTACATTCGCCCCAATACGCACGTGGCCCTGCGGCTCCCGTCGGGCCTCTTCAAGATTGTCGAGACCACCCCGAATACGTACGTCGCATAGCTGGAGTGAGCCCTCCGAGTGCGTGCACATGTGAGGACCATATTAACATAATGAAGTACCATAAATCTTGGAAAATTCGGCACCTTCAACTCGAACCTCATCCTCGGACGGCCCTACTATCTTACCTACGAGCTCCTCGACAAAGACGACGGCAAAACTCAGACCGAACTGCGCGTCGTTCCTGCCTCTGAACTTCATGCTGAAGCTCTCGGCAGTGACCATGCGCCCAGCGCTGACGCTGGTGACGATGTAGCCGAGGCTGGCGCGGGTTTCGATATTGTGGGCGAAGATGGTCAGGTCATAATGCGCAATAATCGCTTAACAGTCGACGATGCTTCACGCCAGCAATTGTCCATGGCTGAAATTGAGGAGCTGAAGAAAGCTGGTACCGGGTCTGGTAAAGAAATTATTGCCAAGATCATGGCCTCTCACAATGCCATTGACGAAAAGACGAGCTTCTCTCTGGCCAAGTACACGCTGCGAAAATCAAGGAAGTACATGAAGCGCTTTACCGCCTTGCCCATGGATGTCGGTCTGCTTACTGAGTACGTCTTAGAGAAGGAGGCGTACAAAATCATGGAGCTGAGGGAAGACCTACTGGGCTTGATCAACAGCTGGGCCAATGTCCACTCTGGAGAAACAAACCAGATTATTGTTGGCGAAGACGGTGTCAGTCAGATAGGGGGAGGGCGATGGCTTGTTGTAGACGATACCGGAGGCTTGCTCACCGCATCACTTGCTGAGAAAATGGGTATTCTGTATCCCGACGACGAGAACGATGAATCCGACTCAGAAGAGGACGTTGCAACTCCAGAAGGGGCCGAGAATGGGACCGCAGCAACAACGGATGCCCCACAAACCAAAGATGAGGACATCGCTATGCCCGATGCTGATGGAGAGGCTACTGCCACATCAAATCCTACAAATACTACTGACCCTTCGACAACTGCAGCCCCTTCAGATCCTCCTCCAAGGGCAAGGAAGCCACCGCGGCCCCATATCCCCCAAATGTCTGCGCGTACCAACACTCTCACCGTTCTGCATCCTAACAACCAACCAAATCTCTCCTATCTCAAGTATTTTGGTTATGACTATGGTGCACCCACTGTTTCGCATCCTCTGTACAAGCACCTCAAATCATTATCATGGCTTTCACTACTCCATCCCGAGGATGATCCATCCTATGATGAACCAGAAGTAATTTCTGAAGATGTTCTTGCAACAATGAAGTCCACAAAGCGAGGAACGTACTACAAGAAGCGAAGACGATGGGAACGCGTCAAGAGTGTCGTTGACGAGACGCGTCAAGGTGGCTTCGATGGCTTGGTAGTCGCCACAGCCATGGATGCAAAGACCGTACTGAAAGAACTAGTCCCTCTTGTCCGTGGTGGTGGAAGGGTAGTCGTCTACAACCCCAATGTCGAGCCTCTAGTCGAACTATGCGACTACTACTCCAAAGAGCGCCGCGCAGCCTACATAGCACGAGAATTCGGCTCTGCAACACAGACCAATGGGCATAAGGCAAAGTCTGAAGATGACACAGAGACGAATGGTAGTACCACAGAGGGTGGTAATGAAGAGGACGATTTTCCGCTGAACCCAACTTTGCTTCTTGCGCCATCGCTGCAGACTGCGCGCGCGAGACAATGGCAAGTTCTCCCTGGGCGCACCCACCCCATGATGACGAGTAAGGGTGGCGCCGAGGGTTACTTGTTCACTGCTACCCGTGTCTTGCCTATTGAGGGTAGAGTCGAGGCGCGCGGACATCACGGCAAGAAGAAGAGGAAAGTTGGAGAGAATGAGCAGGTAGCTGTGGAGGCGTAGAGACTATATCAGTGGTTCGGACGTGATTTGATGGTTATATGCAGTTTATCTAGTTCAATGCATCGTACTCGGTATTAAGGGATTGTTAGAATACTCTCTTTTCAGGTCATGATTACCAATTCTAATTGCCGTGTTTTACATTTCTTCTCTTTCAACATATTGACTGACGGCGCTCACAATCAGCAACTCTCATGTACCTATTCACGAGACAACGAGACTATCCAATCTTCTTGTCGCAAGTCGAATGAGTACGAGAATTGAGTTAGGTCAATTGAAGTATACCATTGTCCGCCTCTGAAATCTATTCATGGGGGATCTAGATGCGCAAAGCAATATGCCAATTTTTATGTAAATATGAACTTCTGATGATGCTTTGCCGTGAAACAGCCAAAAGCGGTAGGCCTGGAAGATGAAAAGCGCGTCGTTCCCCTGCGCGTTACAAAATAGTCTTCGTCAAGCCACAACTGTGGTCTTGGCCTATTCAGAGTGAACGATACTACACCATATGAGGGATATCAAACAGGAATTGCAGCGTGAAAGTACACAATAATGTCGCTACGAGAGCGACGGCTAACTTTAAACGCTTCTCATAGGTTGGCTTTAGCAAAGCGCCCCACACCCCTTGGGTGTTAGGCGCAAGTGTAGAGTGAATGTACAATGAATACGTGCACACTGTTTTCACGTTTGCGCACAACACACCTGGTATATAAACAGTGTACTGCTCTTTTGTTCCTTTCTCATCAACCGCTTTGAGGTATTGAGTATACTATCATATAGATTCCATTATATCTTGTATTTACTCGAATAGACCAGCAATTCTTATATATCGTATCTATTAACTCGATACACTTACTCAGCCTCAAGTATGTCCACTCTATTTCGATTAGGTATATTGACTCACAATCTACAGACCACTCATTAACAGTCAACATGGCTTTTTTCACCACTTCGTTCAAGAAGGCTATATGTGATATCGGTAGATCTTCAAATGGCGACATCTCTCGCCGTACACAGATCAAACCTGATGATGAGGATATGACCCATCCAGTGAAGAATATCAGGTACTATAAGACGCTTCGTGTTGTATCCGTTCCCAATCATGATATGGTAAGTTCCTAAAAAAAGATGATTGAGTGAGATGGATTGCTGACCGACGATCCACACAGATTGCTTCATGCATCCAAATAGCAACCGAAAAGACATGGAAGAATTACCGCCGCACCATGATACATGCAGAAAATGACGCCGACACAACTCCATCCACACCTCACAGCGAAATTGGCAGTGGGCGGGCATCGAGCTCCGAGACGGACCACACTTCCTATCATGGAAGTGAAGATGAGAAGAAGATGGGGTACCTCGTTGAGGCACTCAGCAGACAAAAACTCAACTTCCGAGCCGCATGTCTCGAACTGGAATTGTACAAGCAGTGCAAAACGAATGAAGAGCTCGAGAAAAGGCACCTTGAGCAATATAAGCAACGTCTCAGAGACAAGGCCATGGTTGATCAAGTCTTCGAGGAGTTTTCATCGATGAAGACAATGTACGAAGATATTACCAAGGAGCACGAGGAATCGAAAGCTCTTCTCAAGAAGAAAGATGGAGAGCATCAAGCAGCCATCCAAGAGAAGGAGCAGGAGCTGCAGAAGTTCATCACTGATCATCGCTCCACCCTCGCAGCCATCCATGAGACGTATGAGGCAAAGCTCGCGGAGGCCAATCAAGATGCTGCTGAAAAGCGCCATGTACTGGAGACGCGCCATCTCGAGGCACTGCGTGCGCTCACAGAAGCGAGCAAGACTAACCGCTGCATATGGGAAAATGCCCAGAAAGCTATGGTGGCAGAAGGTGAACAAATGGCATGCGAATACCGCGACGCCTTGCGAGACAATGAAGACGAGATCCTCCGCTTGACGAAGTGTAACCATGACCTTGAGGCTGAGAACAGCTTGTTGGTCGGTACATTGACCGACCGACCTGGTAATGAATTACACAAACACGCTCAAATTGTGTTCGAAGAGATCCAATGCATGAAGAGTGAGTTGGGGGAGGCGCGTACGGATCTCCGAGTTGCTCACATCAAGATTGAGAACATCCTTGAGGCGATGCAGCAGCAACGCGACCATTACGAGTCTCATGGTCATAAGGAGCAAGAGGCTCAGGCCCAAGTTTATGACCTCCGGAGGCAGATTTTAGAGCTCCAAGAGAAGCTCACTATTCGCGATGATCTGCTTCGCGCCGCAGACACTATCCCGAAGGACACTAACATCATGGAGTCCGAGTCTCTGTCAGACATTGCTTCGAAGATGGAGAAGGCTGGCGACGACCTTAAACTTCTCCATGCGGAGAACGCAGAACTTCGGTCTAAGTCCAACAAGGTGGACGACGAGAACCTCGAGATCTCCCTCAAATTTGACATGATCGAGTACGAGGTGCATGTCGCTCGTAACAAACTGGGGGTCCTGGAGGCGAAGCAAAGCCTCCTTATCAGGGAGCGCGACTTCCTCGCCGATGCCATCGCTGAGGACAATTGTCTCACGGCGGAGGACAAAGACCTTCTTCGCCGACATCTCCGCCAAATGAGGGAGGAGAACGAGAGGCTGAGAGATCGCAACGTCTCCGTTGCAAAGGAAAACGCCGACCTTCAGGCGTATATCAAGAGGGTTCAAGACAAGGCTGAGGTCAATATCCAGCAAGCTGAAAAAGGCGCAGCATACTGGCAGACCCTGTACTGGGACGAGGCAGTCCCGAAAACCGAGGCGCTCAGCAAAGAGATCCACGAACTCAACAAGGAGTTGGGTCGTGAAAATGTCCACGTTCAGGAGCGCCTCGAGCGCAACGTCGTTGTCTCTGACAGGAACGTACTTCGATATGCCTGTGCCGCCACACTGCGCGGCGTTGATACCAACCTTATCCCGGCCGAATACTACGAACCGGGATTCATACCAGGCTGGCTCCCAGCCACCCACGATGCTCTTCGCCTCCTGCGACCCCTAGGATGGGTACCAGTCGCCGAGCTGGAGAAGGTGTGGCTTGCACCGATGTACAAGCCGTTCACTGAAGAGGATGCGAAGCAGCGCTTGGAAGCCCAGGGACAGATCGTACGCAAGCAGCATCGCGAGGCGATGGGAGCTCCTCCTCTACCAGGTACGTTTCATCTCCCTCTTTGCAACGACTGTTTCAATAACAACAGCGCAGAGGATCCTTCAGAGACGGTCTCTGAAAACGCTGCCGCCACTGCCGGCCCAGTACAACTCCTATCTCCCTCATGGGTACCTATCTCCAATCGAGCTCCCATGCCACATACGCCGTACGAAGAGCCGTACGCGCCTCCATATCAGACTGCATGGCAGAAGAAACGTGCGAATCTCACGCGAGACGCTTACAATGATATGGATAACACTCTCAAGTTGGATGTGCTGGAGATGCTTGGAATTCATACAGAGTGCGCAGAGACACTTGGCAGTTCAGGCCACACAGTTTCCTATAATTATCAGGAGTACCCAGACATCTTCTGAGGTCACAGAAGTAGTGGGTGGATACATATATTCTGGGATTCGAGCTAGGGAGGCAAAAGGCTGATACGCGGGTGCTGGGGTGAGGTCGTATTTGAGTTTGTGGGATATTTACGGTTCGCGCTAGATCCTGCAGCTGACGCTTACTTGCATGATCCTTGCCACAGACGTGCATGCGCGCGTATTACTGGGGTTTTGACAGGCGAATCGTGTACCATCGTTGTTGATGAATAGTTTTTTCCTTCTTTCTAGACATCATCAAAATACTCATTTTGCAACTTGATGGCTGGATCTTTACTTGTGTCGGTGATGGCACGATGCATATCACTTTTGTTGCCCATTGTGAGAGTACTATGCGATTGTGACTTTACTTGGTAGGTGCAGCATACGCATTGATCATTTCGCTATCATCTGCAGCTGACTGATAGTGAGTATCAAATACTGAAGCCACGAGATTCAAAGACCATGAAGTCATTTCACAATTCTCTCGCCAAGCAGTCACTTCAGTGCAGTGGGCGAGTCGGTGCAGCGTGTCGACAATCACTCAGATTCGTATATCATTGCAACACGCAATTTTTCTATCCTTTGTAATCCAATTTCTGGCCATTGTGTTAATGTTGTTCATGTAGTATGTCCCATCTGCGTATGCAATCTATCACTTAGACCGTAGGCACGAACCAACGACAGATAGCGCACAAGCCATGTGAGTCTTATGCAATGCGCTGCAAAGTTCCACAAGAGGCTCTCATAGATTGCCTTATCTCAAATTACCCAGAGATAAATCATGCGGGTATATCCGTCTACTCTCGCTACACAGGCTCTTTCACTCTCCCACCTCCCCTCCCCACAGACCAGCCACAAAACCCATGAACTAGAGCTACGGAATCAGCCCGCCGCGGATGTCTCGCCTACTAGAATGTCTTGGGTGGGAACTTTTCCCAATTTGTACCTGCATGGGGCTAGGCAAACGCACTGGAGCGCACAGTGAGAGAAACTGGGCACAAAGCTGCTCTGCTCTAGACCGTTTGCTCCACACCACAGCAACCAAAATCAAGTAAGGCAATGCTGCCTGGGGGAGGCTGGGCCAATGGTTCGCTGTCGCCTCATCGAACACTGCCTGTTTGGGATCTAGTACCCATCTCGAGCAGGTTGATCCCCAAGATGAAGACCAAAGTAAGACATTTCTTGTATGCTAGGACCATCCGTTACTAACCAGCCCCTCAGTCGCTTAGTCGGAGCCCGGCCTCTATCGCACATATGAATTTTCTGTAGCCTCGCAGTTTCAGTTCCTCTGTCTCGCTACATCTCACTCAGTATCGTATACTTGCAAATCGCTACAACACCACTTTCTATTGTCATATAACTACTCTCATCCATCTATCCTTTCATCCATTCAATATCATGACTTCTCAGAACTCCTTCCAGCCCCTGAGCGACGACGTGAACCTGGCGTCATCCAACTTCACAGAGGACAGCTTCTTCGATTTTAATGGGGCCTCCTCTGACGGCAATCTACCCATTGCCGATTTGAGCGACGACCTGCCACTTAGTTTCGCCGAGGAAGAGTTCTGGGGCGGCTTCGAGGAATTGCCTCCGCTTGAACCTTCTGTAAGTCAGAGTAGCTTCTTTGACTCCTTCGCATCGGAGGACACCTTCAGCAGCTTCCAGAGCGACATGTCGCTTTGGACTACCGAGGCTTTCAACGAAGAGTCTGTTAACATTCAGTGTGACTGGCCATCTTCGCCTCCAACGAAGACGTCTGATCTACCAACAGTAGACTCAAGCGTCACCACCCCGCCTGTCTCCCAGGCAATCGATCCAGCTCGAAGCAAGCCGTCGGAGCAGCCAGTCGGCGCCATCGAAGCCTTATGGGGACCAATCATGAGTTCTAGTCCACAGAAGTCCGCTCTTACTCCTCCGACCAAAAAAGAGCCACTACCAAAGATGAAGACCACAAAGGTGATCAAGCAGAAGACGACACCCAAGAAGACGGCACCCAAGAAGAAGACTCCCAAGAATCTCTCCACCCCCACGCGACGCTCTGAAGACCGCTCCATCAAAGACCTCTACAACTCGACATGGGCAAGCCTCACCGACGAAGAAAAAGGCCGCCTCCTCCTTCCTCTCCTCCAGGGTGTCGACCCCAACACGGGCAAGAAGATTACCAAAGCCGGTACCTTGCTTCTACCCCCCGACTACGAAGTCATCGGCGCCAACACCCAGATCGATCTCACTCAGTCTCCATATCCGCATGCAAACACCACTTCGAGCAGTCCTTCGGCTTCCACTGCCCACAACTCCGACTCTGTCCTGGCAGTCCCTGAGTACCTTCCGTATATCAGTGACACCACATCTTTCAACGATGTCAATCTCGATGCTATCGAGGCTTTCAATAGGTGTGGCATGGGCGCTACAGATGCGATGGGCGATTCAGACATTGACACGAGGGGTACAGTTGGCAAAGGTCTCGGCGGTCCCTGTGGCAATGGTATCATCGGCGGTGCGATTGAGATGCCTACTCCTCCCTCCGTCTATGGAAGCGCTCGCCAGCAGGAAGCGCTTGAGCGCAATGCCATGTTGTGTGCGCAGGGTCCTTGTCGCTAGATGGACTTAATCGGAGAATATTACATGATACGGGCATCTGTCGCTCTTATGTTTCTGGCGTTTGCGGCTGCGAGGTATTTTCTGGGCTATACCATGGACTTGCTTTTTTACTTTGACGAATGGATGGCTGGTGGACTGGGATTCATACTGATGCGATATCACAATTGTTCATCGGGACCTATACAAGCGATTGTAGTGTAAGGCTCGAAGCCTCGACATTGCTGCGATGTTTTCTTCAATTAAACATAGCAACGAAAGATTTCTATTTAACAATGCGATAGCCGCGCAAGTAAAGTCTTACGCCTTCTCCTTTGCCAACCTCTCATACATGGCCGCTTCAAACATGCGCTGCAACCCACAAACCTTTGCATCTCCTGGCGGAACAACTTGACCACCATAGATACCACAAAGCCCCGTTTTGCGATCAACCCACCAGATGAGATTCGGGTACCCGCCCCAAACCATGGTCCCGGCTTTCTTGCCATCAGGACCATCACCCGTCAAAATAACGCCACCAAGCGCATGGTCCTTGGGTACGCCAATTGGTAGGCCGTCCATAGCATTGCTTGCCTACATGGAAGTCAGATTGTCAGCTCCATGGTAACCGTATGAAAAAGAAAAAAAAAACAGAGAGAGAGGGAAAGGGGAAATCAAACATACCGCCTTATCCTCCAAAACCCCCATAAGCATCTCCCGACTCTTGTCACCCAACTGCGCCTTGAATAACTCATCCACAGACTCCTTCTTCAAAATCTTACCCTCACCCCCCTTATCGGCTTCGAGCAGCGCCTTCAAAACCTTCACGTACTCCTCTACGGAGGCAAAAGCACCCTGACCCCCCATATGACTCGTAACCTCCTTGCCCTCCCCATCCAAATACGGTAGCGGCTCCGAGAAAACCACAGTCTTGCCCGACGTGGGGTCTCGGGCTGACATATCCGCCATGCGCGCTGCGAGATCTGGGCGGGAGGCGAGGGAAAACGACATATCTTTGATGCCGAGCTGGGTCCAGAGATTCGCCTTCATGTATGCCTCGAGCGTCTGTCCGGTTATGCGCTCGATGAGGAGCCCCGCAAAGTCGATGCCGGGCCCGTACGCCCAGCTCTCGCCAGGCTCGAAGACGAGCGGGTAGGAAAAGCGTTCAACGAGGTTCCCACTGCTTCCAGGAGCGCGATTGTGGTACTTGAGCCAGGCTTGGTTGACGGGGTGGATGAATTCGTATGCGAGGCCGCTGGAGTGGCTGAGGAGGTGGCGCAGGGTGATTGGTTTTGTGTGTTTTTCTTCAATGGGCGCGCCGGCGTCGGTGAAGCCCTTGATTACCGTGCGGGATTCTAGCTCCGGGATATGCTTGTAGACGGGGTCGTCGAGGGAGACGAGACCGCGTTCTACGAGTTGCAGGACGCTAATGGAGGTCATGAGTTTGGTGCAGGATGCTATCCACATGATTGTGTTGAGTTGCATGGGCTTGTTGTTTTCGGGTTTCATGGAGACCCTGCCGAAGGCTTTGGAGTATGTGAATGTTCCTTTTTTAGTTTTTGTTAGACTAGGAACTTAGGATTGGAGTGTAGAGTGAATGCGAATGTACCTTCGCAGTTCGTTGCTGATAGAGCGCAACCAGGAATTTCCTCCGCAGCAACAGCATCGTTGATGGCCTTTTCAAAGTCCGTCATTGTTGTAAATGCAATGCAATGGGAAGTAGGTCTTAGGGTTTATAGATAATAACAATGACTCCAGCAAGTATACGTGGCACTTGGAAGTAGAAGAAGAAGAGTCACAAAAGCTGCAGATTCCTCCTTAGTTTTAGGCGCTGTTAGAGTCGGATTGAATGTAAAGTTCCCACAGTGGTTCTTATTTAAGTGTTACACAAAGCGCAACGTGTGAACTTTCAGGCTTACTTTAATTGTTGCCTGATTGTGGATACGTACAAATATTTGTCATCACCAAGTGGGGTAACAACAATACTACCTCGGTTTCTCGGATCAAGTATCACATAGCTGCATCGCGACTACGATGTTGGGATAGTCATTCAATCAGGCATCCAGCAGAAAATGAACTAATGCAGCTTATTTTCGTCAGCCTAATCTCCGGCCATATATTTAGAACCTCCTTGGTGTTCCGTTTTCTGACTGCGTCTCAGTGTCTATTCTGGGTTAGATCTTGACTCGGGGCGGCCGCTAGCGTAGCATATGAATTTACACGTGTAACTATAGAGGAAAGAAAACTGAGAGCCTTGCATTTACCGTATAACTTTCTGCAGCATGTCGTGTGCTGAAAGGTTCAATTGCCATTGGCGATCCAGCCATTGAGGGTGCTATGAGTATCGAATGGTCGAGGGAAGATTGGACATCGGCTCTGAATACATGTTTTTTGCCACTGATGTCCCCTGTATAATACTTTTCGTCTTCAATGGAGGGCGCAGACATACTTCTCACAAAACCATGATTGTCTCGAGTTCAGTCAGACCTTACAGTCTGGTCAATTTCAAGGCACAAATGTTCTAGGCATTTGATTTACGTGTTTATTACTTCAATACGATCAGAGGTTTTGAACGCCCATAGGATAATCATATGCTCGTCTGATAGATCATGCAATTCCGGATCGTCCTTGTAGCTATCTTCATTTCTTATCACTTCTGCCATACCAGCTATCTGAACCCGAGGATTTTCGAGCTCAGGTTCTGGGTATGGATCAAAGTGTGTTGTCCATGGACCAGGATCAAATTGCTCAACAATATCCGCCAAGTTACGATAATCAAGTATCGTAAGATTCTCCCTGAAGTTGAGATCTGGAATACGTTAGTACCAAAAGGGAATACTAGGCGAGTGGGTACTCACTGCCAATATGGCAGCCACTTGCGTGGTCATCATTGCCTCCACAGTCTATGCATGGCAACTTTGTCATACTCTCTAGCTCGCTATGAGACCACGTGTCTGTTGCTGAAAACGTTGCAGTCGTCGAGAATGATTCTTGCTGCTGAGCTACCTCGTCAGAATTTTGGAAAGTTGCACTTCGTTCAAACATTCGATATGTGGGTACAGGCTGTTTCGTTAGTATTTCCATAGCGCTGGAGCAGCTTTGTAGAGATGCAGGTTTTGCTAGCAGAGGCAGGCTTACCTGTGTTCTTTCTGCATTGTAAGTTCCCACAGCCGTAGGATCAGACGTTACCTGGATTGAGGACATATTAGAAACTAAGCACGATTGATTCGCCAATCTAGGGTTGGAAGTTTTAGTCAAAAGTTCCTGCTGACCTGCTGCTTGAGGGGCTTGAACGGTGCGAACAGGCAATTGTTCTCCATGCTTCCTCTCCCAGTATTGCTTTAGGCATACGTCAGTGCTGGTAGGGTATAATGGTACCTGCTCTCGCAATGACATTGGAAGACCCAGTAAATTGCGTAATTCGTATATAGTCTGCAGGTGCTGCGACGCTGTGCCGATTATAGCACTTCTCGAGCCAGGGTCGCCCGCTATTCCCGTCCAAACGATCTTGATATCATTATGTTTCTCATCGCTGTTATCCGCCACGACTAACAGTTCCTCGGGTGTAGTGAAGCCGTGAGCAGCTGCGCGACGATCATCGTCGATGGACTGGAACTTCCAATAGCTGTTGTGTAGATGGGATTGGTCTGGTTGATAAGCGAGGTGGCCAAGCCTTCCATACTGAGGGGGTTCAATTTCATTGTGTGCTTTGTGATCTTGAGTGGCAGTTGACGGTTCGCTATCGTTTGCGGGTGCAATGGTGTGGTCGTCCATGGCGCCAGCTGGCTACCGGCAATAGTGTTCAAGGAAAGGAATTCTAGCCAGCACCAAGTTTGGAGACTTTGAAGTTATCAGTCGAAGCTGTATGAAGAGGCTGTGTTTAGGGTTGCTTAAAAACCTGACAAGCGTGGCCAAGATCGCGTCAAAAGAATGAGCTCAGAAGTGATTGCAAACGCCGCTGTCGCCACAACAGCAGGTGAGGTCGCTTTCTGGCAGGAGCTATGGTATCGCAAGAAAATGTCCAAGCATGCTGTCCATGCTGTCCATGCCTATAATAGTGTCAGTCCACAGTATTTGCGGCCATGCGCTACCATCATGCGCCTGACAGTGTTAACTTGGTGCATTGGGACACATCAACAAACTGATTGCTATAACCAAACTGACTGTTGGGATGCAAAAATAGAGCCTACTAGACCTCAGTCGCTCATACGTAAAACAGAGGGAAACAAAGACATAAAGCGTTCATAGAGAACAAAAGTTCACTTCAATGCGTGATGTGTATTCCCTGTTTATTTTGTGTGTGCTGTCATTTCATTGTACCATTGCATATTTCGCCGCCCATTTGACAGCCTGCACGCTTGCTTTGAAGTTTCAAATTTTCCACTTTTTGAACCATTCGAGGACAATAGATGTTGCCCCCGCTTCCTCACACGTCAACAAGTCATTTGTATCGCCATTTGGAAAGGAGCTGGGCCAATCATGCCCGATGTTAGTATAGTTGTAGTGCACGACCACATCGTCCCAGCTATGCCTCGTCACCTTTCTCTCTCCATCGCACAGGTACGTAGTCGTATTGACACGTGTATCGTATCCATTGCGCTGCGCCCAGTCGTTCACGTATGTGACAACATCCGAACTGTTTGCGTTACCACGCGTGTTGATGCCGCCCTCATATGGTATTGTAGTATCTCGATAGCCATGGAACTCCATCAGCGGTACGGGCTTACGACTAGGGTTGCACGGCGGCGGTTGCTGATTTGCATCGAGGTAAAAGGCACCGGATACCGGAGCAAAAGCTGCGATACGCTTGGTTGCCTCAGTGTCACATGCGAGAATGCCAGTAAAGCCGCCTCCATTTGATTTTCCAGTTGCATAGATGCGTGAAGTATCGATACAGTATGTCGTTTCAAGGTGGTCGAGCAGCTCCAAGGTAAATGCTACATCGTCAATGGATTTAGGAGCATCAGGATCGCCCTGGAATTGCTGGGTTCCCTTTTTATTCTATGGCGTGTTAGCAATTTTTCATTCCGTAATTTCGTGTCGTCGCGTACCGGCACTCCCTCAGGATATACCGCAATGCCCTCAAATCCATAGCTTGTGTTGGAGAATTGACTCAAAGCTTCCTGATATTCGGCAGTTTTGCCTCGGCCATGGAATGATAATATCAGTGGGGAAGGAGTGTTCTTCTCATACGATGTGGGAATATGCAGGCGGTATCCACGAGGTGTGACGCCACTTTCGCTGTTAATAGTTAGGCCTGTAGATTCTCCTGGAAGGACACCGTCAGGAAGTGGCTTGTCGCATCCGTTACTGTTATCTGCAACGAGTACAGTAGCGAGCGTTGACACAATCACTAAAGCTTTCATGATTCTGTGAATTCAAACATGCTGGAAACGTATTCTCGAGCGCTTATATGTACTGAGCGACTTTCAGGCGTGCCAAAGACTGACGTTGAACAGAAATCGCGTACGTAAGCAATGGTTCCACCGCTTTGCCTTTTTCGGGTTACTCCAATACTAGTCGCATTGGCCATGCTTTAGCAACAAGCCAACTGCCGCGTGGAGGCGAAAGACTCCAGGCACGGCATAAGTCGGTCAGAGATGAATGAATTTGCATGAAACATACACACACATATGCATACCATAGGAAATTGTCACCGAATTCCTTCCAAGCAATCGATAAGTTGACTGGTGTGAATCTGACAAAGAGTTGAACGTCATATTGAAAAAAGCATACCTTAGTCAGTTCTCCATCCTACATAGACTTCGTCCGTCCTGAAGCGTTGCGTGCATGTCGTATCGCTCAACTTTGTTATCACGCCCGTACCGTACTCCAGTAAGCCTGCATGGGCAATCATGATGCCATTGTCGATGCAGAACATCTCGTCAGTGGCGAATACGTTGCCGCCACGATCCCTTGCCATCATGCCCATCATCTGCTGTAATCTTAAATTCGAACCCACGCCGCCTACAACTAAGACTTGCTGAGAACCAACATGTGCCATGGCACGCTCTGTGATCTCGACCAGCATGGCAAATATGGTCTCCTGGAGCGAGAAACACATATCTGCCTTTGTTACGAGTTCCCCGTCCTCAGTCTTTAGTCGTTTTTCGTCAGGTAACGACTCATCTAGTCCGCGTGCAAGGAGGTCGGCTGCTGCCAATATTCCCGAGAAGCTAGCGTCCATGCCTTTGACACCGTACGGCAGGTCGACCAGGTTCTTGCCTTTCTTTGCCAACTGCTCAACATTGTAACCTGGGAAGGGGTCATTGGGTATCATAAGTGTCCTGGCAAATCGATCTATGCAGTTTCCTATCGCAATGTCCAGAGTCTCACCAAAAATCCGATAGCGTTGGGCAGAATAGGCAATTACTTGGGTGTTTCCACCAGAGACATAAAGGACGACAGGGTTGTCCGCCCGTGTTATTGAACGGCCCATTTCAATGTCTGCGTTGCATCAACATTATAGTATTTGCCGAAAAGCAAAGGATATACTGACGTCCAACGCAATGGTTCACACCAACCATAGGTTTATTCCAGAGTAGGCTTATTGTTCTTGCCGCAAGCGCAACGCTTTGCAATGGTGCGCCCATCCCAGGGCCTTTGGTATAACATATGCAATCAATGTCTTCGATATTTACACCAGCCTGTCGCACTGCTTGCTTTATGAGCCGTACGACCCATGTCCGGTGGTGTATCGCGGTGTCCTTTGGTAGAAAGCCTTCGCCAGGTGGGGAATTATAGGTGTGGCGCAGGTTTGCGAGGATGATGGGTGGTTTGTTCGGCCCAGGATGGGATATGATACCAATCCCTATCTTATTTGCGCTTCCCTCAAGCCCTATGGCAATCATTGTCTCAAATGCTGTTGTTGGATGATTGACGCGTCGAGCGATGCGGGGTGACGTGGGTTTGATTGAAAATGCTTATCGATAAAGCACGAGATTTGAACCATGGCCCGGGTCGCTGGATTCAACGATCCACAACTGTGGCAAAGCCATGAGAGATTATATCAAATCTTTCGCCTAGAAACATTGTTCATAACTCCTCCAAATCCATCCACGATTCGACTCAAGAAACGACTGAGGTAGCAGTCCAAGGGTTTCAACGAGCAGACGTCACGTTAGCGAGTCAGGTTTTGCAGGGTCTGCCAATCGCTACCATAAACAAAAAACCTTCGACATTTTGTCCACCCTTGCTATAGTACAAACCTGCTCAAAGGAATATCTATCTTCACCCTTCCAATATCTCACAGATATCAATTTTCGGTGGGAGTGTTGCAGATACTTCGCACCCCAGTACATAACCCACACCAGCCAATAAGCGCAGCCTCGGCTCCCAACCGCTAAATAATATCCACCAGAACAATCCCAGCCACCAAGCCTCCTACATCGCAACATCACTTTTCTCTATGGCGGACTTTGATGTTACCGGCCGGGCGTTCTTGGATTGGCTGAAGCATACTGGTGCACAGATCAATCCAAAAATACAACTGGAGGACCTGCGCGCAAAAGATGCAGGACGAGGCGTCGGTAAGTAACATGCATGACCAGGCACATTAAGCCACTTACACATCGTCTTTTTTTCAAGTATTATTTCGTGTGTAGCTTATACTGACACATGCGACAGTTGCGAAGCAAGATATTGCTGAGCACGAGCTTCTCTTCAGCATACCCCGCTCCTCCATTCTCGGCGTAGAAAACAGCATCCTATCTACCGAGATCCCTCCCGCCACCTTCGCCCACCTTGGTCCCTGGCTTTCGCTCATCTTAATCATGCTTTATGAGTACCACAATGGATCCGCCTCAAACTGGGCTCCATATTTCGCCGTACTGCCGACCGATTTCGATACCCTCATGTTCTGGACGGAAGACGAATTAGCGGAACTGCAGGCGAGCGCTGTAGTAAACAAGATTGGCAAAGAGGGGGCAAATGAAGTCTTCATTGAGCAATTGCTACCTGTGATTGAGGAGTTTGCGGATGTCATATTCAGTGGCGACGAGAGAGCTAAGCACAAGGCCAAAGAAATGCGCGCACCAGAGAATTTGGAACTCATGCACAAGATGGGGAGTCTGATCATGGCATACGCTTTTGACGTCGAGCCTGCAATCTCAGACAAAGAGGTGGACGAGGAAGGCTTTGCCGAGGAAGAGGAAGATGCTGCGCTCCCCAAAGGAATGGTGCCGCTGGCCGACATGCTAAATGCCGATGGCGATCGATGCAATGCCCGTCTCTTCTACGAGAAAGATGGTCTGGAGATGAAGGCCCTGAAACCAATTCAAGCAGGAGATGAGATATTCAATGACTATGGCCCACTTCCCAGAAGCGACCTCTTGAGGCGTTATGGGTATATTACCGATAATTACGCGCAGTACGACGTCGTCGAGATCCCTGTAGATCTGGTCTCACAAACGCTAGCTCATGATGGGTTATGGCATGAGGAAAGGATCGAGTATCTGGATGAACAAGAGATAGTTGACACAGGGTATGACATTGCTGCCAGTATTCCTTTTTCACTCGAAGAAAGCCTATCGCCAGAGCTTGTCATATTGGTTGAGACCATGTTGCTGCCAAGGGAAGAGTTTGAGCGCCTACAAAGTAAGGGCAGACTGCCTAAGGCTGAGAAAATGACTGGCAAAGCGGCAAAATTTCTTTACAAAATTGTGCAAGCTCGCATCGCGCAGTACCCGACGACACTGGAGCAGGATTTGCAGATTTCTTCAGAAACGCAGCCCGTTCAGACCATGTCGCGTAAAGAGCGCCGGGTTGCTATGGCCAGGGCCGTGCGCATCGGCGAAAAGAAACTGTTAGTACAGACCGAAGAAAGACTAGCAGACAAAATAGCACGAGATAATGGTGCGATGGCCAAGAGGGCAAGAGATGTGGATGAAGAAGGTGATGTAGAAATGGGAGGAACGGGGAAGAAGCATAGAGCTTGAGCGTCACCTCACAAGATGCACAGCATTGGGTACCAAGACACAAACATGAGTGCGAAGCTCGACGAGGGGTACCACGAGAACACCATGCAGAAGACAATGAGTTCAAGGTAGCAATATGCTTTGGTAAGTTTTCTTTTCTTTCTGGAAACATCCGCCGTGCAAGGTTCTCGCAACATTCTGCAGAAGCATCTGAATATCATATCCAAGAAATCCACTGCTAACCTGTCCTCCGATTTAGGCATACCCTACACCCGCGGCGCCTGTACGTTCATCCACCAACCTTGCTCCCTCACCTGTGGAGCTAGTGTACATAACTTGGGAGATCTTTGGATCCTACTGCGAATAAAAACAAAGGGTATAACTTGTCGACAAACCTGCACCGAATCCATCCTATAAGTCAAAGCGCTAGACAAAGAATAGAAGAAGCTGAGAGAAGGAATCACCTCCCTGCTGCGGCATTGGCAGCATGGGCAGTGGTAGGGGTAGGAGGAAGAAGATGTCCCGACGCAGATCGATTATGGTTCTCAATTGGCCGACGACTTGGACCTGGTGGAGGTTGTTGAGCGGCCTTCTCACCCTGTCGCTCAATCATGATACGGTATCTGATGTGTAGGTTATCCGTCCAATCAACGGGATATGTTTCATCGTCTTCACTACTATCACCAGCGAACCGCCATCGGTCAGCCAGACGGTCATCATATTTCTCCATCTTCTGGCGCTTGACGCCTCGCCGGTCAATCATCATTCGCCCACCTCGCCCGATCCGCCGACGGAAGCGAGACTGATCGTGGAACGGTACATCTTCTGGCGGCGTAGCGAAGCGTATTCGCGCGGTTCTTTGGGGATCCTGTTGCTTGCTCAACGGCGCCACTGCTGTGGCATCAGCGCCCTCTCCATCAGAAACAGAGGCAGGGGGCGTAGGAAGCTGACTTTCTGTAAAGACGGTACGGAAATCAGACTTCGCAGCAGCCGGCTCCAAAGGCGGCGTAATGGGTCGCCACGTTGCATCGACCCAACCAACGTTCCATTTCTGGTGCTTGACCAGATTGTCTTCGATGAAACTGTCAATTGCCTCAGTGCGCTTAGCCTGTTGCTCTTCGAGATAGACAATGTCGCCATCCACAAGACGCCCATCGGGACGTGTGTTCGGGGGCTTCATGCCTGGCAACGTCTGGCGTTGCCGCTCGACGTCAACAGTTCTCTTGGGCTTGGGGGCGGGCTGCGACGAATTAGTCATGTGGAAAGCATCTGTAGAATGGCTCCAACGACGTACCTTCTGCGTGATGAGTAAGTCATCGTCATCACCCTTGATGCTGAGTCTGCGCTTGAGTTCCTTGACGGCGTGGCGCTGTTCAAAGATCAGTTTGTCAGTGGCAAGTTGCTCTCTGATCATCGCTTCTCGTCGTTTGACTTGCGACATCAACAAGCGAGCCTCTTCCAATTCCTTCCTTAGCTTCTTCAGTTTCTCTGTCACTTGAGCATCACGGCCACGCGTCTTGCGGACCTGTCGCACCTCACGACGCCGGAAACACACGTATGGATCAGCGTCATCGGTCTCGAGGTTGGTCTCGAACTTCAACGATGGCATAAGCGGGCGGTTGCCTCTTAGCAGCCGCTGATTCCTCCAATGCTCGTAAACATCCTTGGCAAACCGGCGTGCAGATTCACTGATAGTCTCATCGAACTCGGCCTCGAGCTCTTCATAAGCAAGTACAGGTGGGTTATCGACAGCTGCGAAAGGCTGCTTTGTCGAGGTAGTTTCCTCAAAGAAGTAGATGATCTCTTCAAACTCGTCTTCTGAACATTGGTCGTTCTTACTCCTTTTCTGGTTGTAAGACTTGAGGAAGGCGACATCATCACTGGTCATGCAGTATGGGCAGCCAGACGTATCCTCAACAGTAGATGAGAACCGGATGTAAGTGGCAGGTTGCGTGAAGCGCTTGGGATACAGATCTTCATACTGCAGATTACTAGCAACGGCATCTGGAGTTGGGATGTAGAGCTGAGCAATCTTCCCGCCAGCTGCGCCTTGTGCTGCTGCCTGGGCGGCAGAGATGACGGCCTGCAAATGGTGTTCCTAGGCTGCGCATTAGCTTTTTGAACTGAAAAGATGACAAAGGTAAGTAACGCAAGATATCAATCAATCAACACATGGTGCATGGTTGAGGCTGGGGAAGCGTTGATAGACAGCAAGTGCCCAAAGGGGCCTAGCGCAACTTACAATCTCCTCGCCCTTCTCAACACCCGTCTCGACCTTGGGAATGTGGCGGGAGGCATCGTCATCGGCAAGCTGTTCAACCTCGCTTTCGCGTACAACGGGTAGATTCTGTTTTGTAGAGAGCTTGCGCTGGCGAAAGCGCTGGCCTGTTGCGCGAGCAGTCATTGTTGTTTGTCGCTATGCACGTGATGCGTGGTTGGGTTGGGCTCCGTATGGGGTGCGATGCAAATCCTGGCGCCCCGGGGCGGACCAGCAAAGAGGTGAGTCACTCGCCCAAGAGCTGTTGCAACCACCAACGCGTCGCAATATTGCGGATATCGGTGTCAAAATTGTCGCACGGCCTACAGCATGCGATCTATCGCGTCGGAAGTGATGAAATGTGGTGGTGAGGTGCTGTTTGGCGATGGAAAAGGTTTCAGTGAGCGGCGATGTCGAGCGTGTTCAAGCGGTTGCGCTGGGGGCGGTTTGGGAGACAAGGAGGTGCAAGCGAGACCGACGAATCACAGCACCGGACGCTGGCAATACATGGTCATTGCACTTGTAATATTTTTCCCTGCCGCACGCAATGTACACATGATGTCTATTCTCAATATTCATTTCCCCCGGCAAAGACTAATGCAAACCATCATGCTGGTTTGCAGTCGCTGTTGTCGCGTTCCACGGTTCGGTGAGGAGGTGCGTCCGAATGCGGTTTAGTGCAAGCGCATATACGCAGTCTGCTTGCCTCGGGGCCGATGTTTTTCCTAATAGTAGTATCACGACAATCAGAACGTAGACTAAGCATCATGCACTGCATGGTACGACATATCGGACATATGGGGAAAAAAAGAATTTAATTGAATAGTTTCTCAAATAATTATCACTATTCTTGCCAAAGTCCCATAATGTGTAATTGCAGAAAAACCAGATACTTTGTAAACTATTTACGCACACTACAAATCTATCAAGCTCAAAAGGACAGTAGAGAAGTGTGGACAATCATAATGGTTAACTGCACATAGTTTGTACCATTTTCAGAGGGGTGGTCAAGGAAAAGGATTTGGTCGGTTAGTGATAAGCAGATAGGCGGATGTGACTACAATTGAATACGGAAACCTACAATGAACGGAGAAGCTCAATGACATCCTGTAGAGAGACCAAAATGAACCTCAAACATCTAATGGATGTGACTATAATTTACCATATCTCGGGGGACGACGTATTGTTTTCCTTGTGCCGCAATGCGGCGGTGGCGAAGACCAGGGGCGGATTTCTCTTTTGTCGACGCTTACATGTTCGGAATAGAAAGCATCACCGAGACACTGAGGTCTATTTGAGCTACCGGGGACCTAATGTTCAGGCCTTAAGCGCGAGATTTTTTTCCTTTTGGGATAGCGGGGGAGCGGGGAGGGCTACTCGATTGACTTTCCACATCTGCTGTGAAACTTCGCCGCGATGTTGCATATGAAGCGCTTGCAGTCACTCTCTCAGTTGTTTCGGGGAACGTCAACGCAGTCATTATCTGGGTCTATGTACTGACTTCCTTCCAACTGAGCACACATGGACTTGGCGGCGCGTATAATCGTCAGGCTGACTTATAACGTCATTACGTGGACACCTTGAATGCGCCTCGCGATTGAAACTATATGAATTGGGCAGATATCATTCAGATGTCTCTCAAGGCATCTTTTAAATCTTCAATGCTGCAACCAATACTGTTTTACTGGCTAGATTTTCTGCTTTCACATATTCTAAAAGTGTTTTAGTGGTTTACTTTTCACAACAGCCAACGTAGTTTGGTGGGGGTACACAGGAGGGTATGTTGGTACTACTTATCAAGTATCAACACTGAGACGTCGCACAGTAATATGCTGTGATACGAGACTGCGACTTGAGCCTTAGAAGCGCCGAGACATGTTCTGCTGTCAATGTGATATTCACAGGAAAGATCCTTCGCGGCATGGCTTGTCGGATCCTGTGATGGGCTGAATTGCCCTGAAGAGAGGCATAGTCATAACCACCTATGAACCGATATAAACTTATGGACATTCCAGGAGAAAATATATGCTTTTCAAAAAATATTTACCCATCAAGAATTCACATACCCTTTCTCAAAGATGCTATTTATTCCTTTCTTTGCATATACGTATTTGGCTATCGTGTCAAGTTTGACGACGCATAGCTTTTCTCAGAGCTGTAACTCCAATCCTGAGGATGTACAACAACCTTTTGGACAAGAGACCACCAAACATCCCAGTGCTGCACGCAAATTACGGGAATATTACGCCAACCTTACCTGCTTCGATTCATCTGACGGTTCGAGAGGCACCATAAAAGAGCAATGCAAGAATCTCTGCCCCTCTGGTGAGGAGACTGGAGATGAGGAGGCTGTTTTGGCCTCCCAAAGTTGCATTTTCCAATGGCGCGCCCTGGTATTCATCGAGTGGACAGCAAATACCATGTGGAGAAGATAAATCATACACAGGTACTTATTTGATCAAGTTGAAATCATTTGCTCCATAGTTAGATATTGACTTGATTTAAGGTATCATGATCAGAAAAGGCTATTGCTCTTGTAATCTTCCCATTCTCGAGTTCGCAGGCAACTTTTTCATTGAAGCCATCATTGAAACTGGAAAAATTCTCGAGAAGGTCATATGTCCAGGTTTGCAAGCTTTGGACATGGTGATGGCCATTGTTATGGCAGCTATTCCGCCACCAGGAAGGGCCATCACTGGTGGGATGAGTAAGTACTGCGGCTTCTCTTTAGTAGATCACAACTGATCAGTTTCTCAGTGGCAGCAATCAGATCCGCAAAAGCATACAAGTACGCTTGCGAAGCACAAGATGCTGCTGAATTATGGGCAGAATTCTTTCTCAGCGGTACAAACTTTGCAGGAAAAGCAGGATGCGGTCCGTTGATACCCACGAAAGCAAATCTCATCAAGAGGGCTTTTGATTCTCTCTCTGACGCTCCTGATGAATTTATTCCTGGTGGCATAAATTACGAGGCTTTCCCATGTCCTTCAAAGGGCTGTAAAGGCTGTAAAGGGCCTAAATGCCGAAGCAGTAACGGGAATGGCGACGAAAGTGACTCCAACACGAGCGCCAAACCCTCTCCGACCGAGGATGGATCCTCGACGACTATAAATTCCCCAAGTCAAACAACCTCCGCTGCTACAACATTGTTGGTATCGTCCGCTCCACCTAAAACATCCCTTTTCACGCTCTCTTCCGCCTCATCTGAAAGTACCCAGCCAACCAGTTCGACTACTTCATCAGCAACTCCAAGTCAGACGCTTGATTGTAAAGCTTTAGCAGCATTAGCAGCTGAAGATGAAGTCCCTGAAAGTAATTCTCGTAGACGAATTTATCCGATTGATCTCAGTCTGCATCATTTACACAAGCGTTATGGTCCAAAGACGGTAAACGCATGTAAAATAAAGTTTTCGAGCTACAGCTACCCCTCCAGCGGAGAATGGGGTGAACCCCCGCCAATCTCACTGAAAAGATATGGGTTCAATCAAGAAGACTCATGCGACGATTACAAGTTCGACACGCCTGATCCCAACGCCAAGTATGACACGGAGCATATCCTTGAGTGGAAGATCGTTGGAGGATTCTTTACCCAAATGGGAAAAGATGTTACAACGGATTTTCCACATCCTGACCCTGAGGAGGCCAAGAAAGGGGTTACAGTCAAGTTTTGTTAGTATTGAGAAGAATCATGGAAATTTGAGAAGGATCAGAAGATGAGAGGACCTAAGCCGGTTGCATCTGAGGCGCCTAGTCCTAGCTCTACTCCAATTTCTCTATCTGTATTGATTCCTCTCTCAGCTTCAATTTCTTTCTCGGCGTCAGTTCCTCTCTCTGCATCAGTTTCTCTCTCCGTATCGGTTCCTGTTCTTATAAAAAGCTCAAACTCTGCATCAATCAATCCCACGCCTGATCCGCAAGTGTTGAATCGACTCCATTCGGATTGATCGCCAGCCAATACCCGCACAAAAGTAGCAAAGAAGATGATGGACAGTGGGCCAATGATCTCAAGCTCCTTGAGAAATCCCTTAATTCTGCTATCAAATCTCGTGTATGTATGCCCTTCCTCGTCTTTTTGTTGTCTAATCAATCTTGTCTTATTATACAATGAAGTCTAGGCAATCGCACTAACCTTGTTCTCTGTGTAGTTGTTCTATCCAGAAAAAACATCATCAGGAAATACTTACGTGTTTATAGACCAAACTAAGATGACAAACCTGATCCAAGGGAAGACAAAAGAATCTAGGTACAAATTTCTCGGCGCGAGCGAGCAAACTCGTATAACAGTGCGGAAGATGCGCCAAGTCACGGGAACTTTCATGTATATGCAAGACAAAGACATAGCAGAGATATTTGCGAAAGAGAAGAATATGATAGGAGAAATGATGGGCTACATCGATAGAGAGTTGCCTAGAATCCCGAAGATAATGAGGGATGGACCGTTGTGCACACCATGGTAAACTCAAGATTTGGAGAAGAAGTGGGGAAAATAGATGAATGGCGTATTCGATCTCGCGAAGAAGAGAAGCGTTGATTTCATGGACTTCAATCTAAAAGCACTAAACCAAGAGTGGGATTCTAAAAGGAAGACAGACGAGTTTAAATCTGATGCGAAAGACGACAAGGCTACACAAGATCGCAAACAGGCTCTCAAGGCGATACATAAGGAAATTTTCGAACTTATCAAGAAGACCGAGGCTGCATGGGACAAAGTCAAGAATTGGGACAAGCCAAAAGATTGGTAAATATACCGCAGGAATTTTTATTTTTAGTAAATTAGTTTTTTTCACTTAATTTGGTTGACAAGGTTTCAGTCGACTGGTAAGTTGCCTAAAGAATAGGCGGTCAAAAGCATATACATAGTACAATTGATGATGGCAATGAGACAGGTAGTACCTGGTCATAATACATGATATTGGACTAAGATGCCATACCCTACCCTCCAAGATTCTGCTTTTAGTCAGACTCTCTGTCCATAATTCTTCTAGACCATCTCCAAGCCGTGACCGTCCGATTTGTTGGAAGAGACTGCGAAGCTCAGGATCAGGCCTCCAGGGCGAGGTTCACCACTCTAATCTGCGATATGATCCAGGACTCATGGGACATCTTGGCTCGACATACTTGATGCCCCATGCTTGCTGTTCTATAACTTCGGGTTCACCTGGTGTTCCCTCCACGGAAAATAGTCCTTTGTATACTCATCATTGCATATTAACGGACACCATATCACAGCCTCCTTGAAATATTTCATTCGCAAAGTGGCCTTGGTAAACCCTTCCAAGAGCGGACTTAGTCTATCGTATGGCGCAAAGCGAAACTGGTTATATCTGTAGTGTAAGTCATCATAGTTTGTGTCGTTAATCAAGGATTCCATCCTCTCATCAAGCTCTGTGACTTCATAAGGTGAGTAAGACGCTTGAGTAACTAGGTATCCAACTGAATCAGACCCTTTGCCAAGCATTCTCTGAAAATACCATGTGCCGTCAGGACGCGCAATGTGGAACACAACTTCAAGTTTTTCGAGTTTGGGCCAAATCGGTGCTGTGCCACCCTCGGCCAAAAAATGCTCTCGTCTATCATACATCGTAGCTGAAGTTGACGGAGGTGAGGGCCTAGCAAATGAAGGCTCGAACTAAAAGGGTCGGATTTGAGGGATCCCACCAGATTAACCAAAGGCTCATTGTGATCAATACCCACGAACGCATGTTTCAGAGGATTGAGAAAGTTCAAGCAAGCCCATCTTAGCAACTTCGGAAGCTGGTTATGGAGGGACGAGACAGCAGCCGCAAAATCGTTTCTTGCATCACGCCGGGGCCCTGCCCAGTCGCTATAATAGTATTTGACGGGATCTTCCAGATGGCCATACAGTGTCTCGCACCATTCAAACCCTCCAGTCCGAATACCCAGGTACTCGAGGTTCGGAAACTTCATCGCAAGATCGATAAGAACACGCAAATCCAGTTTGAACTCATGTCGAACAAGTCTGTGTTCATCAAAGTAGAAGTAAGTGGGGCACTCATGTTGTTGTAGTTGTTGTAGATTTCGAAAGATTGTACAGCCGTAATGAGGGGAAGCTCAACTTCCAAGAGGTGCACACGCCAAGGGTTAACAAGATACGGCCAAGAGTGATAAGCCAGTGATTCAATTCCTCTGGTAGGGCTGTATATCGAGAGTCGATATCTGTGTCGAGAGTATATTTCTCAAAGAATCCCGAATATTTCTCTGCACTGGATTGGAACTGATGACTAAGCATAAACACGTTCTTTAAGTCCTCTCTCGGTAGGAGGCTGCAGATCTCATCAATAAGTTCATGCGGTAGGTCATTCATGGTTGTATGAGAAACTTTGGGTAGCCGTCTCACCAGTCTTTTAAGACGCAGACGCAATTGCGGCACAGTTCAGTGAAAAAGGCTACTGAGCATGATGTGACATGTCACGTGAGTCATGCTTCTTAGTATGTTGTATTGTGGGGCTGTCAACCCAAAATTAAGTCCTTGTACGACAACATCTATACTTTTGCGTAGCAGCCTCGCTTTACATGATACTATTCCAAATGAAATAGTACAGAAAAGAACTGCGCTTCAATTCATCAGAGACGAAACGATTATTAGTCCATCTCCGAATCAATAGGACTTCACTAGCTCTATCAAGCACCCACTCTTCGTCCAGATCTTCTCCATATCTGCCACTCCCAATCCTTTGGAATAGGCCATGAAGCTCTGGATCTGAATACCACGACCCCACGGCCCAATTCAATCTACGCGATGATCTAGATTCATTGTTTTCCTCAGGAGCGTTGTAAAAGACACCTCACATGAATGACTGACGTCCCTTCTCAGTAAATTTGCCAAAATCAATTTCTGGATCTTTAATATCAGACCAGTTCAGGGGTGATCAGAGGTAGGCTGACTTCAAAGATGCCATATGGATGGCGGCCTCGGCGAAGCTTTTGAAAAGCGGACGTAAGCGGTGTTCATCTGGTGTGATGAGATACTGAGAATTACCGTCATGCGGGTCCCCATTGGGCCTCTCATCATGTAGATATTCCATCTCTTCATCCAGCTCGGTCTTTTCGTATGGCGGATAGTGTTCGTCAGTGATTTTGAACCCCATCACATTGCGAACTTCGCCTTGCGGGCCGTGAAAGTACCAGGATCCATTCGGATGTGCTGGGTGAAACACGACTTCTAGAATCTCCATATTGAGGCAACGAGGCCCAGTACTGGCATCTGTAGGAAACAGACTCTTGTCAATCATGGCTCGTATTTGCAGCTGACGGAAGTTGTTCGATAAAATGCCCAGGCTTGAGCTGAACAGATCTCTGACTGCTGGCCCCAATAGATCGGGTAGAGGTCTTGACTGTGAGATATCCACGGCTCGCGTCAACGGGTTCAAGAAATCCAAGGAAGCTCTTTTGAGTGATTTTGGCAACTCGAAAGATGGCGATAATACAACGTTGGCGAATTCATGTCTCCCATCACGACGTGGTCCTTCCCAATCATGCTTGAAGTGAGTTTCCGACTCTATCTCGCCAGTTGTTTCATGCCATTCAAATCCTCCCGTCTTGCATCCTAAATACTCGAGGTTGGGGAACTTCGACGTTAGATCGATGATAGCACGAAGATCCAGTTTTGACTCGCGGAACTTGTCATTACCGTTGTTGTGTATCTCAAGCGAATGGACTGAAGCGATTTCGAGCAAATCAAGGGTAAGAAGATGAACACGCCAACTGACGTACAAGCGATGTAAACACCATATAAAATATGTGATGTCCTGCGCAAGACTGTAGACGAAAGCCGGTATCTCCCTGATGCATGCATCTCCCCAGCCTGTTGCTCCAACTGACTGAGAGTGTTGAAGAGGTTTTGAACCTGGCGAGTAAAGGATTCATCTTTCTCACATATTTCCTCGGCACTCTCACGGCACGGTAACTCTTCGCCATCTGGCGGTTTCAACACGGGTGGGAGCATTGGTTTGAAGATGACTTCCTTGAGGTAAAGCAGGCGATGGCAGGAGTAACGCGAAAGGAACTCGGTGTTATCTTCCTTAATAGTATACTCGTCAAAGAATCCAAAGTATCGCTCTGCACCATAGCGAAACTGGCGATTGAGCGTGAGCACATGCTTCAAATCCTCACTGGGTATATAACTGCATATCTTGTCGACAAGTTCTTGTGGCAGATTGTTCATGTTTGTTGAATAGAGCCAGTAGCGTTTCAACGAAGGTTGAGGTGTTTCTAAATCAGTAGAAAGAAAGGGAAGTGTGACAAGTATTGCTCGGGGCAATGGAGTATTGGGAAATATTCTTTAGGCAGCCACCAATTGTGGCACAGCTGCTCCAGTTTAAGGGCTTAATTAGGGCTTTCCAAGCGATTACAAGGTTATATTTTCGAAGCACTAGTGGAGCGAGCGGTGTGTTGGCTGTTGTGCCGCAATGTATTTAGGGAAATAGGATGGAAAAGCAATCGGAACATTCCGGGCAGTACCTCTGTATGTATGGCAATTACTAGTCCCGAGCGCTTATGTAGCTGAGTGGCTGAGGAACAGACTCGCGAAAAAAGCCGCTAAGCACCTGCCTACTGCATACCTTGTCTTGAAATCCGACCCCACTCCAATTATGCAGCGGCTAGAATGAGTTACATTCATAGGTAGCGTGCTAACGTTGTGATACCAGGTTGTCGCTATCTGTATGCCCCATGTAAGGTTGTATTGATAAGGACATACAGAATCCATCGGGACATCAAGGAATTCGTCAGGGCGTCAGGAAATACTCCAACAAGAGCGATCCCCTACTACAAGATACACAGGGATTTCAACAAAGTAGATAAAATATCACAATACCCAGCTATCCCGTTTCCCAGATGACATACAATGTAGACCAACTTTTCCAATTTCAACTGCCTCTTGCAGCAAAGAAATAACTCAACACCCAGATAACCTGAAACCAAGACGCCTTATCAAGAGATCAAAAGATAACGTTGTAATAAAAAGTCCACAGCGGACCCGGGAAAACAAGGCCCTCCAAAATTACAATATACAACAAAAACATTCCATAGGCCATACACCCAACAACCCCGCCTACCCGCTTATCCCACTAAACACAAAATCCCAAGACAAAAAAGACATTAAAGCGGCTATCCATGTTACATAGCTAACACACACCATATATACATATACACACATATACGAACCTAATCACTATCCCATTCTACCCCTAAACCTATGCCCCCTTTCCAACACTCAACCCATCCAACCCCCATCTTCCACCCTATCCCCTTACCCAAACATTCCTCACTTACAACACCCGAATCTCTACAGAACTTGGTTTTGTATCGTAGTCTCTTCTAGCTATTACACAACACATAACCTAATCATAGTACATCGAAACAATCAACCTTACATTCATCGCGTATTTTTCTTTAAGAAAAAAGATTTCGAAACGTGATGTACATAGTATACTAAGATATGGTATATATATATCTCCATCAAACTCAAATCTGAAATATTTAATTCTGATATACGTTACGTGCGAGTATACTATCGTCAGTTCAACGCTAGATATCCAAGAAACGAAAATAAATGTTTGCTTTACGTCCCTTGTTCTTTTTCTTCTCCATCTTTTACAAAGGATAGTTATAGAAGGTAGGGAGGGGGGAAAGAGCGAGTAAGTAAGCCAAACCAAACATTACAAAAAACAGAAAATGGATACAGGATGCAAAAAAAAAAATGAAATGAAAGTAAAATAAAATAAAAATAGGAAACTCTAGCTCTTGACCATAAGAAAAAGAAAAATATGGGGTAACTATAGGGTATTCTCTAACAATATGCAATGTTTTTCAATTCACGTTTGCAACTCAACACTACCAGCTCCCCTGTTTTTCATTCAACAAATTCTATTTCTTAGCTAATAATACAATACTAACCCTATTCAATCCATCCTTTCCCGCTATCGCCACAAGCACCAAAACCCTCCACACCCCTTCTCATCGCATAAAAGACCCATAATTCATAAACGTGCCCCCCGCGGGGCGCTGCGTGCTAGACCTGGACGCCGCGGGCCGTGAATAATACTTCGATGACTCAAAAGGCTGAAAAGACACGGGTTCAAACGCGACGGGCTGCTCATTCGTTTGAGGCATGGGCGTGGGCGGCAACGTCGTCGAAGCGGCAACGCCCAGGGGCACTTGCGTGTTCTTGACAGGCTGCTGAACAGCCATGTTTGACAGAAAAGGTTCGCTGTGCTTTCGAAGGAGGTGCTTGCGGCGGGATTCTTCGACGCGAGTTTTGAGTGTCTCAGCAATGCGACCAGTTGCTTGGTCGTCTGTTGTGAACCACCCGGAGTTGAGGATATCTTGGGCGCTTGGTCTGTCTGTTGGTATGGGATTCAGGACCCATTTGAGGAATTGAACTTCCTTTTCTGGGACACCTTTTTCCACGATTTTATCCCATTGCTGTCCTTCGTAGTGTGTGTTATCGCGGTAGGGAAGGCGACATCCGTCGTAATAGTCTAGTGTTCCCAGGCCAAAGTCGTGGGCAATGGCTCGCTCAACTGATCTTTCCTTTTGGCCTTGATTGCCTATTAGTAGCTCGTCATATATTCCGTACTTGTTAAAAGCGGCTTGAGCCTCCAAGAGCTGACAGTATATCAATCCCCACGACCAAATGTCTGCAGCCGGGCTGATTTCGTTTCTGAAATAGACTTCTGGGGCTCGGTATATGATAGGTTGAACCAGACCCTTTGCTGGCTCCATGACGATACCGAGGTCACCCAGTTTGGTTGTAATCTTGCTGTCGCCTACAACTGCTCTTTCGTTGGGCTGTTCCTCGAATCCGCTGAGTAGTATGTTCTGCATTTTCAAATCTAAGTAAATGTTAGATGTGTAATATCGCAAAAACCACAGCTACAAACCTGCATATACCAAGTCTCGTTGGTGCACGTCCCGCAGGCCCAGAAGCGCTGAGCGCATGATGCCCTTGATCTCCACGTCGCTGAACTGGCGCTTCCTTCGTGCATCCCACAATGTAGACTGCAGAATCTCGAGAACAATGCGTGGCGGATCGGACCTGGACACGGGTGGAATGCGGTCGACTTGTTGTCGAATGGTCGGGATACCCTTGAGAAGCTCATGCATGACCATCTCGTGCTGGAAGCGTGGCCAGCCGTAGCCGACGTCATCATCACTCGGCTGCTTGACGATGAATATCTTCTCCTGGGTTGCTGCATCTACGGCAACCCACACGTTGGATTGACCAAGGGGTTTGACGAGTAGGTACCGGTACCCATGCTCGCCCACAAGTTCTGCGCCTTCACGCATCGCTATTGTGAATCCAACCATGGCGAAAAGAGAGAACAGGATATAGGGAGTTTGATTCGGATTGTAGAAGCGTAGGCAGTGTTCAAGTTGTGGAAGAACGAAGGAGTTGGGCTGAATGGTTTGCAGCAAACGGAGGGAAAGGGAGGAAAGACGTCAATGGCAACCAGCAACATGCAACATGTGGAACCGGGCAACGGATTTTGGCCTGTCAAGAGGGCTGGGGAATGGTTACTAGACGTGGTAGGGGCGGAGCGATGACGGAAGGGTTATCACTGTTACGGAAGTGGCGGGCCTGCGTCATTGCCCTCTCTGCGTGGCTGTCCAGGCAACTAGTGTTGAATCGGTGCATTCTCAGTCAGCTTGAATTCCATTCTACTGTACATGCAAGGGGCGTGTACCATAGAATTGCTGCGGGAATACCCTTGGTGCATTATTTATAGTAAGGTTGATGGTGGTAGTCCACCTGCGGACAGGGCTGCCAAAGAGGGCAACTTGACGGGCCAATCAGAAGCGAAGCGTAGCAACGTAATGGCGGGGAACACGCTTTTCCCCGGTCTATCGCCAATCTATGCCGACAACACCCTGGCTCCAACCAGCGCTGGACTATTTGCTCCACAGCTGAGGATCGGTTTCACATGCCATGTCTGCAAATAGAGTTCTCACCATCACGTGACGTGATGTTTGGTATTGATATTATCGTAACTAATAGTAATTCGTCCGGCAAGACGGGCCAAAGTCGCCCAAGTCCACGCCTGGAGACTCGTCCGTCGTGCCTCTATGGGCTGGCTCGGGTCTAGCCTCTTTCTATGATGCCCATTCAAACGGTGCTTTTTTCAACAACTACGGTAGCCCAACCGTTTCATGTACCAACCGCGTCGTGCGTGCCCGTTGGGAAAAATCAGTTAAAAAATGCTACTAGGGAACGCTGCCCTGATGTAAATAGACGAGATGAAAATGAAGAAAAATACTAAGCCACTAGAGAAGCGAAGATACGGGGCGACGGTGACAAGAAAACGCCGGAAAATGCAAGGCACGTAGTGCAGGACATAACGCTGAAATCATGCAGAGAAGGTTGGGATGCCGGTTACACCTCGTGTCGCTCGTCGAGCTCAAAGCTCTTCTGACTTATGCGACGGTAAAAAGGCATTCTTGGGCTCAAGAAACGAATCTTGGGTGAGCCAGGGCCACTGGATCGTTTGTTCAAGACGGCAAGCTTGTAAATCAAGCCAAGAAGAGCGAAACCGGCAGCAAATCCAAGAATGGTCACGAGCATCCAGTGCTTGGCGAGCCAGAAGATAATCTTGACATCGGTCCTGTGCCAGCTGTTTCCCAAGTGGTGAGTGAAGAAACTCCACGAGTGGTTGTTGTATTCGTCGGGAAACAAGATGCGTACACGCTCCTCTCCCACTGGGCCGGCGTTGTTGTAGTGCCTCCAGATAAGACTGAGATACAGGGGTCCGGTAGAAGCCATGACGGTGATGTATGGCAGAGGCCAGCGGCGGTTGTAGTCGGTCAAAGAGTCAATGGCCTTGAGGAAGAAGGGATGGCGGGGAACCGCGCCCATGACATCGTTTGAGATTCCGGTGGGAAGAGTGCGTCGAACCCACGCAGGGTAGGCGAGAAGCGGATCGAGGCTGCGGTTGCATCCCTGTGAATTGTCAGTTATGCAGGTATCGCTTGGTGCCAAAGGATGTACCCACGTCGTCCAAATCAATGTAGATGCCGCCAAAGTGGTGAAGCACAAAGTACCGAATGGCATCAGCGCGCTGGATGGGGTAGGGGTAGCCGTCAAAAGTCTCAAGGAACCACGGGTACTCGGCAGCAATGAATTCGCGCGACTTCTTGTCAGTCCATAGCTAAGGGTTGTCGTCAGCAGCCGCGCATACTCGGAACAGGTCTGCGCTCCGTACCTTGTACTCGTAGTCGGGGTGGAGGTCGAGGCAACTCTGCTGTGGGCCCTTCCAGTGGGCAGGAATGCTGTCATTGATGTATGTCTGGTGGATGATCTTGGGGACTAATTGTGGCGCATGGTCGATTGCGCTGGAGTTGGGGGCGGGCAATTCTCCGCGAAGAATAGCGTCCTCCCGGCCGGACGCGACCAAAAGACCCAGCAATGTCCAGACGCTGTGGACGGCGAAACCTAGGACCAGGATGGTCACGAGGAAGAAGATGGTGACGCCTTTGCGCATGTTGGCTGCTGGCGCTGTTATATTACTATTGTTGTCGTTGTTATTATTGTCGTCGTTGTCGTCGTCGTCGTCGTCGTCTTGGTCGTCTGCGAGTCTCCTTTTCCTCGGAGTTTGTAGTGGTGCAGGGGGCAGAGGCCGGATGGACGAGGTGCAGTCGCGGGAGCGGGGAGGGAAGTAGCAAGACTCTAACAGCAAGCCAAAACGAGCATCAGCGTCGGTCCAGTGCCAGGCGGGAGGGAGAAGGAGAGAAAGGAAGGACGGGCGCAATAAAAAGCTAGGCGCAGTGGACGAGAGCGCGAGAAGAGAGGCAGTGCCAGACGCCAATCTCGGTTAATGCAGCGCGCCAGGGTTCAGGGGTGGGGGGCGCCATTCACTGAGGCGGCATTTGATGCGAACTGCACCAAAACCGTGGGTGCACAAGCGCCGCCGTTGCTGGTTGGGCCCTCGCTGCCCCTCTGCTGCTATTTTGCTTCGCCCTCGTGCTCACACGCCGCTCACCAAGAGTAGTGTACGTACACCTGCGAGGCAGAGCCCGAAACAACAGGCAGCTTGCGTGGCCCTCGTCTCATCTCTCTTCAGCTTGCCTCGCCTTACCTTACTTGTACTCTACCTAACTGCAGCCGTTTCCTTGGATTCGGTCACACAGGCCTGGGCGTTGCTGTAGCCACTCCACCACTCGGCCTATGACGAGACGTTGCAGCATGCTGCGCCCTCCAACCCACCCGTTATCACCATGTCAAGCGATGACAGCTGCAACGCCTCGCACTCTACTTACGCTACTCGGATTGGTATCCTCGGAGAAGGTAGAAGCGAGTACGCGCGGTACGCTTGTCTACACCGTTGAATGACGCGCGCGGTCGCCCGCTACCGATCCAAGTTTCGTCCAGTCCTTGCAGTGAGTGGCCAGGTACGTTGCCGCTATCCTCGCTATCCTCGCTATCCTCGTCTGCTGTGCAGATTCTGCCACCTTGTCTGCCGTGTCTTGATAGCCACCATGCGACGAGACAAGGCATATGACGTACCACTACCAAGAACTTGTTATGCCATTTGACTCGACGAATATTCACATAGTACATGATGCTCGGTTCTACTAACCATACACATAATCACCCCCGCAGTCGTTTGTGCGTCTAGCATATGTACTACATACTCACGTGCCGTTGCTGGGTTTGACCGCAACAACTGGCTGTCGTGTACACCGTATCTTCATTAGCGTCTTATTCCATTTCAGTATTATCGTAGCCCTGTGCATCGTCTGGTCAAATTCACTCCATTGACTGGTCACGTGCTATTTTACTGAAGAATGCAGGAAGGACCGCCTCAGTGGTTGTCGCTTCCGCTTGTGAGATGGCCGTATGGCTGCAGTTGCACCAGAGCTAATAATAGCAATTGTCTTGTCAACACCAAATACCACACACACACACATTACACTCCACACTCCACACTACAAACCTATCATGACTTCTCAACATGACTCGCATACCTAACTCCCTTGCACAAACATAGCTTCCCGAATGCGACATTTTCTTGCCCTTGACACCATTTGGGCGCTTTTCACGGCATCGGTGACTCCCATACCCATAGCACCACCCGATGGACTGGACTTTGTCCGACAAGCATCTTTCAAATATGGCGACCCTGCCAAGCTACGAATCTCATTAGTAGTCATATCCAAGCTCTGCCTATGTCTGTTGGCAGGGTTACTGGGTGCGGTCCTCATCCGAGTGCAATGTGCATAGCCAAAGCACAGCGGTTGACATGTGCAGGGTACCGGATACGCCAGTTCAACCAACATTTGCTCAAGAACATGACACTAACACACATCTACATCTTTATTGACTACATATCTGCCATGACCTTTATCATCGCGGCTGCAATTGTTCACAACGGCCTCGGAATTACAACAGACGCGATTTGTAAGGTCGCGATAAGGCTCTGTCTGCTCTTCTACACGGCCGGCAAAGTGAGCATGTATGTCGAGCACACATATTCATGAACACTGTTTGGTATGGGGACAGGTTCACTGACGTTGCTATCGTCAGGTACCTCTTCCTTGTCGAGCGCGTTCACGTTCTAAGAGCTCCTTACCGATCCCGATGGAGCGATTACCTTTGGCTGCTCAGCACCATTGGTATCTTTGTCAGTCTTGGGGCCATTGGTGTGGCTGGGTTTGTCGTGCCCATCACTTCACTCTCCAAAGACGACGGCCGCTGCCGAATCGGCCTGCAACCATACGCCATCATACCGTTGCTAATATGCGACATTGTCATCAATGTGCTCCTCACTCTTATCTTCATCTACCTTCTTAGCCCCGTGATAAGACGAAGCCGACCTTCTGGCGCGGGATTTGCTAGCCGATTAGCTCGGGCAACCGGGAGCCTCTGTGGACGGGCAAAGCAGAGAATAGCCGTCAATCTTCACCCAGCCAACCAACGTCTAGTACGAAGAGTGGAAAGGCTGTTGTTCAAGACACTAGTAGGATGCTTCTTGGTTGTGTTACCTGCTTCTGGCAACCTCACTGCTTTGTGGGTTTACCAAGGAAAGATGCCAGCGTTTGTTAGTCAAGCTGTTGTCGAGCAAGTGGGAATTGTGCTGATGTGTGTGCTTCTAGATGTGCTTTACAATCTGCATATTTGACGGTGCGAATGCTGCCACTACCACCACAACTGCTATGACATGAGAAATGGCATTTACTGACAAGAAGGGTCATAGTCACATGGGCAGCTGTGGTGCTCCATTGGCTCACTATGGCCAGTGCAGATAAAAGAGAGAGTGGAGCTGCAATGTGAGTGATGAGAGTCAAGATGGCAGTTGGCGGCACTGCAGTTAACAAGGCCGACATGTAGGACGATGGCACACCGGGACCAAGAGTTGGTACGGCTGGCGCCATGCACGTTGCAGAGACAGCCTTCTGTATTATCGGCAATATCCCTGGATCTATATTCTTTAGACACAAAAACCACGGGCGACGAAGCTTTGGACCGGGCCTATTTAGGCAGAGGTAATAGCGTAGCAGACACACGTTGGAGGCCCAGCATGCACTCGGTGACGTCACAGAGAGACTCTGGGCATTCTACTTTGGTGGTGGACTGGGATGGCTTCAAGGGTACAGAGCAGACAGATTGAAGAAGGGTCAAAAGTCGGAATCCTCTTCTTCGATGATGGCCTGGGAGAGAAGTCCACGCCTACGGGGCCCATTAGGTTTCTTGAGAATGACTGGAGTGATGGCTGGCAGGTGATGGACGGCCTCTCCTTTCTTGGCACGGCGTTCAGCGCGATACTGGGCGGCCGTCCTCGTCTCGACGGGCTTTTCAGGGACGATGGGAGCATTAATTCTCAGGGTGGACGACAGGAACTTGAACATGATGAAGAGAGTGGTGCCGGTGATGCATCCTATGAGGGCAGCTATTCCGAGAAAGACGTACAGTGTCTGCAGCAGTTAGCTTGGCGCATGGATAGAAGAACAGAGACGAATTAGCAGTTACCTCGATCTGCTCTAACCACTTGACGGTGAAGGGGAGGGAAACGACTTGGAAGATAGCGTGAGCAAGGTGGATGAAGGGAAGCAGAGCAAAAGTGACGAGGAGATAGAATGGACGCAGGAGAATGACGGCGAGGGTGATGAGCTTGGCAATGGGCCACCATGTCAAGCGGGCTAGGTGCAGGACGAGGCGGCGGGCGATTGAGAGGACGATGATGGGATCCATGGAGGGATGGCGATGGAGGTAATGCGGAGGTGGAGATGGGAGAGGTTGGTAGTGTATCTATGTATGTAAGTAGGGTACATTGGTATTGTGGTAGTAGCACGCTGTAGGGCAGCATGTCGGGCCGTGTGATTGGGCAGGGCGGAGGGCTATCGGCGATTGACGCAGCGCAGGCAAATGTTGATCCCTGTGCTGGGTGCAGGCCGGGCGCGATACCAATACGATAGCTTGAGGCTGGGCTGGGCTGGTCTGCGTCCTGTCCTGTCCTGTCCTATCCTGTCCTCTGTCACCTCTGCCGCGCCCTCTTGCGTGACTTGCCGTGACCTTTTGCAGCTTTGGGGAACGGACAGAGCAGAGCAAATGGGGAACCAGAACTCGCGCTCGACGACGGCCTCGTCCAACCCGCAGTCGCCCACGGGCGTGACGACATCACATGGCCAGCACCCCAACCCCAACTCCCTCGCACCCTCATCCGAGCGCAGCCTTCACCCCCCGCACAGCAACTACCACTCGGCGCGACGGCGAGAGTCGATCCAGGCCCTCAGCGCCGCCCCAGCTCCTGCTGCCCCGTCCGTGAGCCTGGAGAACGCCGAGAGCCAGCCATCCTCTGCCCGCCCGCACTCGCGAGGGAGGGCGCAGACAATTGGGACTAGCACAAAGGCCGTGGCCAGCCAGCTGCGCGCCGCTGCTCACGACCACTTCAGCGCCCGCCACCCCGGCCAGAACCATAACAACAACCACAACACCAACACCAACAATCACGACGCCGCAATGGGCAATGAGCAGAGCAGCCACCGCGGCCATCATCGCGACAAGGAAAAGGACCGCGACAAGGACCGGGAAAAGGAAAAGTCCCCCCGCGATGCCCCGTCCATCATCACCACCACCCCGCCACAGGCAGCCATCACAGTGCCAGTGCCAGTGCAACAACAACAAAAACAACCACAACCACAACCCCCACCACCACAAGAACAACCACAACAAGAACAACCACAACAAGAACAACCACAACAAGAGCAGCAACAGCAACAGCCTCCCCGCGAGCCCTCGCCAACTCTCCCCGTAGACGTCCCCGCTCCCCCACGAGAAGATGCCGACTCCGTCTCCCTCATCGACCCCGCCGATGCCTCGCAGGACTACCTCATCCCCCCGTCGCAGTTCAGTCGCCCGCCTCGCATGCCCCTGCCCATCGAAGAAGAGGTCCACACGCCCGGCTCGCCCATCATCTCCCCCGAGGAGATATGGAGCCCCATCCACGAAAACGAGGCAGAGGGCATGCTGCCCCGCCGCTCCTCGATGCTCAGCACCACCACGGCTGACGACGAGGACCTCGGCGAGGAGTTCAAGGGCCCCAGCACCGGCCGCCCGACTGTGCCAACCCTAATTGAATGGGAAGGTCCTGGTGAACGCGTCTATGTCACGGGCACATTTGCAGGCTGGAACCGCAAATACAGACTTCACCGCAATGGTCCTAGCAAGAAAAAGGACGCCCTCTCTGCCTATGTCTCGGTTACGCCAGGCACCCACCATCTGACTTTCTTGGTCGACAACGATATGCGCACAAGCGACAAGCTGCCAACTGCTGTAGACTACACCAACATTTTGGTCAACTACATCGAAGTTCCGTACCCCGAGCCCCAGCCCCCCGTTGCTAGCCCGTCCAAGGATGCACAAGGTGCGCTAGATGCTGTCACGCCTATGCAGGAACCACAAGCTCCCCCGGGCATGTACCCACCTCAGGTCCTCCCACCAGCACCCGACGTGCAGCCCATCAAGCCCCCGTTGCCTGAGCCACCCAAACCACCCGTTCCCGAGCCTACCAAAAAATACCATCAGAACATTCCCCGCTACCTTCTTGACCTTGATGCCCCAGAAGACTCGTCACGTTTTCTGCGCGCAAACGCCATGACCAACAACTTGCCCACACCACCAACGCTCCCAGGTTTCCTAGGCAAGAGCATCTTGAACGGCACCACGCCCATGAAGGACGACAGCAGCGTGTTGATTCACCCCAATCACACTGTGCTGAATCATTTGGCTACGAGTAGCATCAAGGACAATATCTTGGCCACTAGTGCCACGACAAGATATAAGCAAAAGGTACGCCTGTCCTTGGTCTTTGCTATATTAAACATCAAGACTAATCTCTTCACAGTTCCTGACTACTATCATGTACAAGCCCAAGGAAGAGCACAGCGAAGTGCACTGAGCCTTTATTTTTCTTCTTCATTTCCCTTTTTGTTTGGTCCCGCCATCTGCTTTGGCTTTGTTTACCTGCTCAATTTATTATTGAGTTTCTTATTCCTGACCCTTGTTTTTTTTTGCATCTGTGAGCGGGTCCTGATGGTCTTTCATGTTGAACGACCTATTCTCTGCTTTTTTTTCTTTCTTGTGCGAATTTGCTCTTCATGTTCTACGAGCAAACGAAGTACGGTGGGGGAAAAGGGTCTATGCGTGGGGGAATTCGGGAGCCTGAGGCTTGAGGCCCGAGGAGTAGACGTGGTGTAACAAAAGGAAAAGATGGATAGTCTAGTTGTTGGCAAGGTGAACCTGGCGCGTGAGAGAGACAGAGAACAGGGATAGACGTTGTTGATATGCAAACCGGGAGAATAGAAGCAAGTTCACTCCCGACTAACCCGCATTTTTACAAATGACTTGTGCCACGTGAAGAAATACAGTCAGTACTTGAGTCATGCAACACGTGTGTACTGTTATCTATCTCTCCGTCTTGGCTTACAATTACAGTCATGCTCAATCCACGTGTTTCCCCCAAGTGGAGAAATTTTGTGGAGATGGAAGGGTTGGGGCGGATATGCATGCAGGGGCGCACAAAGCTGCAAGACAGCGAGAGGACGACGATGACGACGATGAAGACCCTGACTCGCTCGCTCGCTTGCTTCGCCACCGCTTTTCTCACTCTCTCTCTCTCTCTCTCTCTCTCTCTCTACTCTCGCAACCTCGTACTCTTTTTATCCATGGTGTAAGTAAGCTGCATGATGCCAACCCCCCCCATTTTCGTGTTTCGGACTTGACATATTGTCCGACCGATGAGCCTTTCTTTTTCTCTCTCTAGTTCTTGTCAAGTCTTGTGTTGAATCTTTCACGAAACTTGGTCCGTTTTCTTTACGACTTGACCTTTTTTTTTTGGTCCGTAGAGTAATCACGGGAGATTAAGACATACAAAAAACTTGGATATTTTGTGTGTATGTGTGCTTTTTTTTCCTATATGATTCTGTGGTCTTCTTTCTTTGCATTGTCAGCATTCGTGGGGGGAGGAATTGTGGGGGATGAGGGAGGAGGAGGAGGGGAGTTCGTATATGCGTGAAGGATGCGTATAGGATGGATGAAACGAGATGGGGTTTTGAACTACTGGAGTACTAGTAGTATTTGCCCCCTCTCGATGAGGAAGTTATTCTGCATACAAGATTGGTGATATAAACATGGTTTGGACGGTGTGAGATACGGTGGGTACATCTTGGTATGCGGCATATACACGTGGTGGTACGTGTTTCACATGGATATAGTCTTTTCCGGTTTGCACTCTTTCTCTATACGAAACTCGATCATGCAATTGACTGTTTATATCCATCTTTGCAGTGCCACTCGTACTATTGATAGTAAACTACTTTTCCCGTTTCTGCAGTACAACTTGAACATGAAGAAGATAAAAATGTACACAGACAGTTAGAATCATGGAACTCTGCAACCTAAACATTCATTCCTTATTTCCAACTACAACATATCTGGATGATCCAATTTACTTCTGAACTTTACAAGAAAAGACTTTTATTCCCAAGAAAAGGGAAACAATCAAGATGAACGGGTAAAGCCGACTTGGCTGTGGTCGTGTTCCGCATACAGCACTACTTGAAACCAGCGAGTACGTAAAACGCGTATTGACGCCAACCCGAGGCGAGATTGAGAGAAATACATGCCGAGGGATAACGTTGCGGCTCAAGTGATATTCGCTAAACCATACTTAGTTGAACGGAAATGTCATTGCGAGCGACAAGAAAAAAGGTTAATTTCCGAGACCGCGCTGATGGGGGCCCAATGGCAGATGTGTATCCGTGCTTTTTGTTTGTGGCTTTTTAGGTTCCTTTTGGACGTTTTACCCGCCTGGCAGAAGCTTATTTATTTGAACCTCCACGGAACACTTTGTATTATACAGTATCTAACACGTGTTGGTGCGCAATGCCGAGCCATTGGATAAAAAAGGGGGGGTTCCTTGTCGCAACGGGGGGGAAGGGTTATTGGCATATGCGGGTCCGACAAAACTTGAGCGCTTCTACACAGTACACCCGCACCTCTCCCAACCCCCCGCCCCTGCTTGGATCCAGGCAATTGGAGACACAGTTTATCGGAACATTGTACTACGTACGTGCATGAAAGTAGGGTTTCGCAATATAACCTCGATGTGGCTTGTCGGATGAGGCGTCGGATCGTGCTCCTGCCCACGTGGGATCGCAAGAAAAGAGACTGGGGTTGAAGCGGGAGAAGAATCGAGAAAACGGCCAAAGTATTCGCACTGGAGGCTCCCCAAGCGAGTAATAAGCGGGGTTATCTTAGCAAAAAGGCGATGGGTAGATAAGACCATGATGATGCTGTCGTATCAGCCTTGACAAGGCGTGCTGAACGGCCGGATAAAGTTCACCGTTGTACGTTTCAAATGCGCAAGTGTCATTCTGAGCAAGCTATGATATGAGGGGCCAGAGTGGCTCCTAGTCAACCTTTCACTCGCGGTTGTTGTAAGGCTTCTCGAGCACAGTCAGCGTGCTGGGACCATTTGCAAACGCACAACAGGCATGCGCGCAGATGCAGAATTGCAGCCCAATCTCGTATCACGCATGTTCTTGATGTGATTTCGCCTCATCTTTGCCATTGCCAGACGATTTGCCGTCCTGATCTGTCAGTGCTTACTGTCATTGCAAGCATGTCGAGAGTTGGCGGTGAGTGGGGGGACTCAACAGCAGAACCACGACTGTGTAAGTTGACTTCTTCAGCAATGGTTCATTGGCGATGATGGAGCCATCTATCTGATAACCTGGATATTAGTCACGTTTTGCGTAACAGAAATCACAATACTTACACGTGTGTCTTTTTTTTTGTCGGATTTAACTCCGGGACTGCCATGAACACTTCGCCCACAATGCTCGAAATCCGTCTGCTAGACCATATTGACTTTGCTTCATGGTTCTTGAACTGAACGAGTATTATGTTCTGAAGTACTGCTGGATATGCTTGTAGTCTCAGCAAGATTGGCTTTGGCATTTTCCTTGAGTGCCATGATTTTGACAGGACGCGCCAACCCAGATGATCTTGTCCACTACAGGATGGCGCCCATATGAGGCGCATTGGTCCACAGAGTGAACGTGATAAGTACAACCGCAGACGGGAAACTTTTCAACGACGCGGATACACATTCTGCGGTACTAAGGTGATGGGATTGTTAAAGGGGTGGAAGAAGGGGGGGAGCGGCAAATTGTTGTGCTCCCTAACAGAAGCCGGGTCAAAACTAAAAATTGGAGAAGAGGGATAGACGGACACTCAGCTAAAAAGCGGGGGGAAATATATACATGAGACAGCATGGTAGAAAAACGCGGCAGGAAGAAAGCTTCCTGGAGGGCTTGCTGTATAGACAGAGTGTCGACGCTGGAGACGGTCGGAAGCATACCCTTGTCTGGTGTAGATCCCATTGGCCGTCTCACAGCGTTAAGCACGTTGAAGAGATCAATTCACACGACGCTAAGCCGATAGGGAGGTGCTGGGAGGCTGTGGGGAGGATTCAACTGGCCAGGACTGCCACGTCGAGGCGGTAGGACCGTGGTCATGTGTGTGTGAACATGAGGACCATGGACCAAGCCACAGAGGACAGGCTTCGTCACTGAGCACCCAGGCGGAAGCCTTGGCTATCGAGTGGTATGCCGGGGGCTTGGACGCTACGACCCCCGTCGTGTCTCAGCGGCGCACATGGTTCTGCAGTGAGTGAACCCTTGTGGTTTGTGGTTCGCTCGCTACTAACTCGGGCCAAAACAGGTGCTGAAGACAACGGACAAGACGGACAAGACGGAGCAGACTGTCGAGCCAGTTGCGCTACCGGCGGGCCCGGTGGCATCAGCACGGCACACTGGCGACGAAGTAAGTGACTTGCTCGAGGTCACGGCAGTCGTTGGGCCAAGGAGGCGATGCCGCTGACTGAGGCGCAAGTCGCATACTTAGGCACTCGGCATCGGCAGAGCAGCCACTTCGCCAAGGGCGCTGACGAGCAATTTGCTCCCCGGGCGCTGGTGTCGTACTACTACCAAGGGCGGGCAGGAAAAAAGCGCGATACAGGTGAGCGAACAGGTACAGTACTTACGGGAGCACCGGCGGTTGTACGTAAGCCCTAAATTTCAAGCAGACGCACAGCCCGACCCACCCCAAACTTCCGTCGGCTTGGCAAGGCTTCTGCTCTACGTTACGTCCACATCGACCAGCTCGACCGTTGCTTTAACCTCGCTGGGCACTGCGCCGCCATGGCGACGTATGTAAAGATCAGCTCACCCCGACCCGGACCCGGACCGGCACCCGGACCCAACTCCGACCCGAATTAGGTACACACGCATATCAGGCTTTGAGCCTGTACCCTCGCACTCCGTCGTATGTTCTGATGAGACATGAACAACGGTCCGCCGCGGGCCGCTGTCGTTATGCCATGCTTTTTACTCATGTTGTAGTCACTTGGCTCAGCTGGTTGTGACTTACTGAGCCCCAGAGTCTAGAACTACCATAGTGAGGCTGCATTTCGTTGGTCTACAACGTACATATCAACATACATACATACTCACACACATACATATATGTAATGTAATGCCATCTGCGCTGGAAGTGAACTAACAAGCGTACCCTGTAGACTAACGGCAGTTCAACCATTGCCGTTCTGCCTAGACCCGATTCTGTCAAGCCTAGAGGAAACGGTATTCTGAACGGCTCGTTCGCCTCATAGTGTGTGAAGTGAAGAATGGGCGAGTATCAGACAATTCTACACGATTTTCGGTAGATTCCATGCATCTCCATCTACTACACATTTTTACGCATTTAATGTACAATTGGACATTGTCTCGGTGTGCCTGTCCTCTGGTGTTTGAAGTGAAAGTGAAGACTAAAATTCATTGTCTAGTCTACGACACCCAAATATGCAAGCAAACTCACTCTTACTTTGGCCCTACGACTCCCCACTCACTGCCTGTTGCCATGAATATCACAATTGAACAAAGAAGATTCTCACCCTGCACCCTTTGTACAAGTTTTCCCTCCACTAATTCTCTTCTCTTGACACCTTGTCTTGACACACAGTCAATCCGTGTCATCTCGCTACAGCAACCCTAAGACGGATTAGCAAGTCGGCGACATACCAAAATTCCACCAAAGAAAGCTGCAGCCAACGGCGAATCCACTGATGGAGTAAGCATCCCCGATGCTAACCTGACCTCGCCATAACTAACCAACACAGGCCGTCAAGTGGGAAGGTCCAAATGACCTCAAATTAGACTTCCCCATACCCCTCCTACCCAACCTCGCGACTAACCCCCGCAAAGCTACTCGTCCTAACCCAAGGCTGCTACGTCAAGCCCGAAGAATACGAGCAGCTCTCCACTGCCTTCCTAGGTACTATCCCTCTCCCCACTCCCCTCCATCCCCCCTTGCCTCCCCTGCCTCCCCACCCCACCACAACCCCTACCGCAAATCTGACACACACCCCTCCCTCCCAGGGACCAAAGTCGGCAGCATCCGCAACCGCATCTCGGTCCTCCGCATCAAACGACGCGATCTCTACGAACAACTGGGCTGGACCCTTCCTGAAGGCGGCGCCGGCCACAGTAGCCAGAAGAAGACGCCCAAGTCGGCCAAGAAACGCAACGCAGACGAGAGCGCCGACGACGCTGCACTGGAGACGCCGAGTAAGAAGCCGCGCGTGAGGAAGGGGAAGAAGGATATTGCTGTTAAGAAGGAGGAAGAAGACCAGGTGATGGAGGAGGTGCTCGATACTATCTCGGGCGTTGAGGAGGAGGAAGGAGTTGAAGAAGAGGTTTGAGACGAGTTACACGGGGGACTTGGAGTGGGTAGGATGGATACTTCTCTTTTGTCAAAGGGGGTCCATATGGATCTCCGTGAAGGCGATCATACTGGGGTCAATGGGCGTTTGCTTCTTGCTTCCATCATGGGTTGGGGAAAAGGGCAGGGCAGGGCGTATGAGGGATTTACTTACATGAATTCATGAATGGTGGAATTAATCAAGCAGGTAGTGGGATACCTTACTCAAAAGGCATCTTGCGGATTGAACGATTTGCATAAGTACCCACCTCCACATCAACTCTTGACCTCATGTCAATTTATCAAAACAACGTGAGACATTGCTCGAACAAAAGAGAGAAAGAAGTAATGTGATTTTTTTCCATGAATCTTCTTCGAACCATCATAAGGTATAGGTGTAAAAAAACAACGCCATATGCCCATATTCCTCCCGCCATTCCATTTGAATCAACGCCATAAAATGCTCCCTTATTTCGAGCACTGAATATCGTAAGGTGAACCCACATTCTCCAACCAACACCAGCTGATCCACTTTATTTATCCCCCTTCTTCTTTCGCAGCGTTTGGCCTCCACCTTCAAAGTGCTTCGACTCCTTTTGCTCGCCTGCCTCTTCCTTATTCTTGAGCGGCGTAATTTCATACCCGAAGAACAACTTGTTGGGTGGTAACCTAAGGGGCTGTGGTCCATTTGTGCGTCGCACAGTTGGCGGTGGGTTGGTGGATTGTCCTGCGACCGGTGTAGAGGCTTGCGGGGTGGGTGCCTTGCTACCCTTCTTAAGGAGTTTGTGACCGGTTGTAAGAAAATTGGATGATGTTGCTTTTGCCCCATTGGCGGCAGTTGTTGCCGATGGCGCAATAGCCGCGTAGTTGATCGCATCCGCCATGGTGCCGTGCGGGTGCAGAGTTCCGCCCTTGCCAGTCATGACACCCTTTCCGCTGCGTGGGGTGCTTGTCCCACTCGTCCTCTGCGGCTCTTGGTAGCCCACTGGTGGTGCAAAGTCGACCGACAGATCCGTCTCGATAGTGCATACAGCCTTGCTTGGATGTTCTGGCTTGGTCTCGAGCACAGCTATACTGTACACATTGTCGTTGTACGCAAAAGTAAATATATCGCCCGTGGTAAGACATGAGAAGTTCCGAAACGCGTTTTCAAGGACAGCTTTTGGATCCGAGATTTCGAGGAAGGAAGAATCTTGCGGTTGCAATTTTATGAAGGTCCCGAGAGGTATGTCGGTCGACTTGACTTGCAAGAGGTCGCCGGGCTCCAGCTTGAGCGTCTCCATCAGCCAGTATGGCAGATAGATCTTGCCCTCTTCTGCAATGAACTCTAGCACACCTGCGTGTGTCTTCTTCCCATCTTGTTTCCCATTGATGAGCTCGAAGAGCATAGGATATGTGATGTGCAGCCTAGTGAGCTTGTCGAGAGCGCTGGGAGGAAGGAACACCTTTCCGCCGTGGTTTGCTTCTGGGCGCTCTGGGCCGGGCAACATGGCAATGGGGTAGCACCGAAAGTACTCGTCAAAGCGCCTAGGTGCGCCACCGCCGCGTCGGATAGCCTGATACATGGCCATGGGGTCGTCTTGGTCGTAAAAGTTTGGGTTGAACTGGTAGATGTGGTGAGTCGGGCTTTGAGATACAGGGTGGTGTTAGTGGCGGGGTCACTCTCACCATTCCAAATTAATAATCAGGGCACGAAAGGGGTGTTATGGTACGAGGAAGACACGAGAAGGAAAGGCACGTGAGATCGGGATACAAAGACCAAATGATAGAGGGCGCAGATGTATGGACTCAAAGATGACGAACCGTAGGCAAGCACTACGGACAGCGGTTTGAGCCATGAGCGCATGCCGGAGCCACAGGCTGTTCGCCGCAACTGGCCCAAGCTCCAAATTTCTAGAACGCGCGAAGACGTCACTGGCGGATGCCCAAACCTCGACGTCCTAATACTACTACTAACTTGTGTGCATCCCCGACTCTACGCCTTCGCTACAACCATGGCTAGCTCCAGCGGTACTTACAACCCCGCGCGGCCAAAGCGTGCTGGCGAGCAATTCACACGGACTCACCATTTGGACAAGGACGAGCCATCGACCAAGAAACCTCGCTTCGATCCACGCAATCCCTCGACGCTTGCCCCAGACGCTGACGACGACGAAGAGGATCCCGCTTTGGAAGCCGATGTAATAGGGAAAGGCTCAGGCATCAAACGCAATGCCGTCAACATTGACGGCTACGATTCAGACAGCTCTACCGAGAACTTTGATATCCGCGCGGAGGCGAACCATAAGAAAGAAAAACCCGCCAAAGATGACGATGACGACGACGACATGTTTGCAGACGAGCCAAAGGAGGACGAGCAGGACGAGGAACTTGGACAGGACCAGGGGAAAAAGAAGAAACTGCGCTTCTTGGACAACGCCGAGATTGAGGGACAAGAAGAAAGCAGCAAGTCCGGAGGTCACGTAGCGGTGGATTTCACAAAAGGCGGCAAAGCCACGGCAGATGAGGTAGAGAGCAGCAGCGACGAGGGCGACGACGAGGAGCGCGACCGGCTAGACTCTGACATGGATGAGGAGCTCGGTGCGGGCAGCAAGAAAAAGCATGCGCCTAAGCTGGATGCCTTCAACATGCGTGCAGAACAGGAAGAAGGTCGCTTTGACGAGGCGGGCAACTATGTACGCAAGGCGTTTGACCCCGATGCCGTTCAAGACTCGTGGTTGGAGGGCATATCCAAGAAGGACATGAAAAAAGCCAAAGAGGCACAGGACAAGAGAGATGCCGAGCGAAAAGCTAAAGAGCGAGCCGAAGACGCGATAGTGACCAGCGATGTCCTGTCCACTCTCATCTCACATCTTGAAGTAGGAGAAACACCCATGGAGGCCCTGGTGCGATACGGCAAGGCGGTGCCCAAGAAAGCGACCAACAACTGGGCCAAGAAGAAGAAGAAGGCACAGAGCATGGAGGTGGATACAGACCCATCGGAGGAGGCAGCAGCAGCAAAAGCAAAGCAGGTCATTGACTCGATTACCGAGTGCGCAAGTCGCTTGTCGGACCGTGGTGTGGAGGACATTTATGAGCTGCCGCGTGAATCCATCATGCGGCAGTACAAGCGCGAGACGGGAGAAGACTGGAAGAACCTCAATGCAGAGCCAGTGCAATGGGAGTTCCACTGGCTCAATGCACCCGAGGGGGACATCAACGGGCCCTACGACCAGGCAACCATGCAGGCGTGGGAGGCTAATGGGCAGTTTGCAGCAGGTGCCGAGTTCCGTCGGGTAGGTGAGAGCGAATGGTCGCGACTGCTTGACTTTGATGATTGAGTGTGGTGTGTTGTAATAAATATAGAATAGAGTAAGCAAGCACAGCCGCTGCTTCGGGGGGAATTGCGCAACGCACCCATGCAGGCCACGGTAAGAGGCAGCAGGGCAGGGTAATTTGAAACGGCGAGTAGTGTGCGTGAGTGCGTGATGAGAGGAGACGAGGGAGTGTGTGTCCAAGTGGTCAGCATCACATGATTTTCCATGCATGCGACTAAGCGATCCTTCAGACGACAGGAGCGTCGGGCAGCCAGTCGGAAAGTTGATAAAAGCGGGAAGTCGGATGGGTGGGCGTGTAAGATCCACGACCATGGTCCAGAGGCGATACTAGCCTGATGAATCCAGGAGCGCCGTTTGGAGTGGATATGCAGAGCATTTGGAGTGTGCACGCAAGGGTCATGTTTGATTGACGGGGGGATGAGGGCTTGGTCATTTGTGAAAGGGTGGATAGCAAAGGGATAGGGTGGAATTGCAGGATCATTACTGTGCACATCTGGGGAGCAGTGCGGTGAAGGGTGCAGTGACGAGATTATTGGTGGCAACGTGCAGCTGACGACGTCTCGTGGGCCCGTCATCCTCCCCGAGCGTCATGGCGATGAGGTTGAGGGGCGCAGGAGCCCCCCATGTTCACCGTAGTTGACGACATGTTTGCGACGGTTGCAGCCAGCAAGTGCTGCCGGGGGGGGGGTACACTTAGTGGTGTTGTTGTTATTGTTATTGTTATTGTTGTTATTTTGTTGTTATTTTGTTGTTGTGGTGGTGGTGGACGCTTCTTAGTAGGGAAGCTAACGCTACGGCCCGCCAGCTGGCGACTTCCCGACTAACCGGGCCATGGTTCTTTCCTGTGGCGGGCTGCATGTATGTGAATGAGTGAGTGTGTGTGTATATATATATATACGTACATGCGTATGTAAGTAGTAGTGTACATGTGCATGTACCTACATACAAGGCTGTCTGTGGCTGTGGCTGCATCTGCACCCCTCCATCATTTTATTGAATATTGTTTCTCTGGCGAAGCTGGCCGGTCCGGTCTTGGAAATGGTTCCGCGAGTAATAGGGCCAGTGTGCAGGGCATGTAAGCCGGCCACAGTAATAACGGCGTGTCAGCGACCAGAGCAAGGGCAGCTGTTGAGGCCACAGTGGGACGAGCGAGAGAGGGGAGGAAGGAGGGATATTTGAGAGGAGACGTGGTAGTAGTATATGTGAGTCAGTGAGTGAATGAATTGATGAATGTAGTGCATGTCTAGTGTTGTAAGTCCATCGACGTATATACTCAATACCCTACACATACATATATCTACATAGTTATACATATTTCCCATACGTATTATCCTGCACGAGAAAGAGCCGGCTCTCGTCTGGCCACCGTCGGTGCGCACGTGTGCAGCCGCCTCCCCGCGCCGTTAGTGGGCTTCAACGAGACTTTTGCAACCCAAGCACACACGCACACGCACCAGCCGTCGCCCTCGCCCGGAACTGTGCTCCCCTTCGTCCCTGACTGCCCCCTCTCACCCCTCCCGCTGTAGGCTGCGTAGGCGATATCTGAACCCTTTTTTTCCTTTTGACATCGACTAGCCCGTGGCCCTGTTGCTGCTCGCGGCCCACCCAGACGTGCGGCTTTGGCTCGATAGGGGAACAAGTGTCGCTGGGTCCGGTCCGCCTGGCATCCCCTGGCTCCCTTGCTCCTGTTGCGCCGTCCACCCAGCACACGCCCGCCAGCCCGCCAACCCTCGACCGCGGCAGCTCGAGCCTCATCTGCCCCCTTTTCCCAAGGTCAAAGACTCGTTCGCGACCGTCGCCTTCCGCTCATTTCACCTCTCCGCGAGCTTGGGCCACCGTCTCGTACCTCCGCCCTAATTTTCTGCGCCGCCCGCTGCCTGCGTCTCCAACCCGCACGCTACGTCCTCTTTACGACCCAAGACCCCCCTAATCCTCACCGCATATAATGTACTCGTCGGGCTACGACCACAACACGTCGCGGTCGCCCATTGCCCAACGATCCCAGCCCCAAACAGGCTCTCTGCACCGCATGCCCTCGCGCCAGTTCGACGCCTACGGCCAAGTCCCGCAACAGCAAAACATGTACGCCCAAGACGACCACCAGCGCCCCTACGACCAGCCGCGCAACTACGAGCGCCTCAACCAGACCATGCACGCTGGCGCTGCCTACGGCGCCTACGACATGGGCTCCGCCACCGCCTGGAACACAAATGCTTTTGCCCAAAACGGCTCTCTGGGCTCCCTGGGAGGTGCCGCCCAAGCCCGCATCAAGTCGCAGCAGCGTCAAGGAGGCCGCAGCGCACTACCATCGGTAAGGACCCTGACAACAACAATCACTCCTCAGTCTCCTCTTCCTCTTCCTCCAACCACTTCCTCACCCACTCAACTCCCTCTTGCACATGTTTTTGCCACGATGCTGACCCACCTTTCTCAGGGATGGATGGACCAGCAGCCTCAGGGTCTGCCCAGCTTCGCCCTCGGCAACTCCAACCTCAACACCATGCAGAACACGAGCTACGGCCATGACGTCGACGAGGAACTCATCCCCACCGCCATCGTCATCAAGAACATCCCTTTTGCCGTCAAGAAGGAGCAACTGGTTTCGCTCATGACGGAGCTGCGCCTGCCCCTTCCCTACGCCTTCAACTACCACTTTGACAATGGCGTCTTCCGAGGCCTGGCCTTTGCCAACTTCACCACCGCAGAGGAAACCGCTGCCGTCATTGAGTCGATGAATCACTTTGAGCTCAACGGCAGGAAGCTGCGCGTCGAGTACAAGAAGATGCTGCCCCTTGCCGAGCGTGAGCGCATTGAGCGAGAGAAGCGTGAGCGACGCGGACAGCTCGAGGAACAACACCGGCCGCTTGGTGGCGGTCTTCAGTCTCAGGCATCCTTTGGATCTCTTGCCTCCCACATGCCTGCCACATCACCCTCACCCGTCTCAGCCATGAGGGGCAGTGGACAAAAGACTGTCGGTACGTTCTAGCCCCCTTTTCTGATATTTCCCACGAAATTTTTTTTGTGCTAACTGAATACACAGACGTCGACCTCAATGACCCGCAATCATTACAATTCTACACCCAGCTCCTCCTGTTCAAGGAGGCCAAGGATCGCGATAGCATGACTTTCCCCGCCAACCTGGCTCCTCTTCAGCGCCGTACCATTCACACCTTGGCCCATCAGCTTGGGCTTGCGCACATTTCAAAGGGCACCGGTGATCAGCGCCAGGTGCACATCTTTAAGGTTTATGATACTCAGGGGCTCAGCCCCCCGATGCCGCAAATGGCCAGCAACCCTCTGGAGCAACCGCGCCGTAACTTAAACCGCGCGGCCACGACCGATTTCAGCGATGTACGCGCAGAGGGTGGCTTTTACAACGCCTTCAACAGGCAGCCATCAGGCCTTCTTGGATTTCCAGATTCGCCTGGCGGTCTTAACGCGGTCCCTAATCTTCGTGGCGCCAAGTCTTACGCAGATCTCAGATCTTACACGCCGTCACCTGCCCCTTCTACTGCCAGCCACCCCATTGGTCGACCAGGTGGTATCTCGCTCGAGGGTCTTGGCTATAGCGGAAGCTCCACCAACCCCAATGGCACCCCGACGAACAGCTCCATGTCGCAGCGTGACGATGGTTTACTAGAAAGGGAAATGAGCCGAATGCAGCTTTCATCAGGATACCCGCAGAACAGCAGCCCGCGATCTTTGCGACAGATGACGTCTTGGGACGCCCCTGGTCCCATTGGCGGACACCGTACTTTCAGCACCAACTATGATGACCGACCATCCAGACAACCTCGTGGACCGCTTCCTGAGCGAGGACAGGGCTTCAGCCGTCCGCGACAGAATGGACACCAGAATCGTGGCAGCGACGAGCTATCATCGCAATCCAATGTGGAGATTCTTGTCGGCCAGTAGTATGTCAGCTCCACGCACGAAACCAACCGTCGTCGCACGTATCATCACTCGTTCAACGACACGTGCGATGGCGTCCACGAACGAAATCGATGACGACGAACGTTTAACGGCCTAAAGCCAGCAATTGGCCGCGCTACTAACACTGGATTGACTTTACGATGCATACGAAGAGAATGATGCCACGATGGTAGAGACATTACATCCAGAACTAAACCGGGCCCGCGCCCCCCACCAATCTCGCATTTCAACTTTGGATACAGCAAAAAAGCATTTATGAACATATGGGATATGTTTTTCACATATTTATATTGAGTCGCACAGTCCCCGACGACGTTGTAGTACTGGGTTTTAGTTTTTGAACGGAGGAAGAGATAGAGAGATGAGATCGAAGCTGCATTCGGCGCACAGTTGGAAGTTTGTGGGTTTCTTGTCTTTCTCTTTGATTTTTCCATTGTTCTTTCTTTTTTCTCTTTTTCCCCCCCACTTTTTCGCCTTGGATATCAGTCATAGTCTAGGTTGGTGCTGGGTGCCTGGCGCGACAGTACGATAATGGAAGGTGAATAGTTTGAACACCGGGCTCCTCCACTCAACCTTTGTATGTTGCGCGAACTGCAGCTAAGAAATTTACAAAAACAAAACGACCTGGGTGCCCACGTTTATTTCCATGTGCCGTGGGATGATTTATATATCAACATGCTTAGCTCGGATGAGACCGAGGGTGAGACAGCGTGTGGGGCGGGAAGTATGGACAGTGTCAACTCGTACGACATGCCATGGTAATGTTTGTCAGAGGGAGGTGTCTCGGGCTTTTTTTTCCTCTCAAAGGGACCTGTAGGGTCTGGGCATAGTTCTTTGAGGCGGAGAGGGTGGATGGGTCGGACGGGTGGCCAGGATCTCAACCTTGGGCGTGGATCGTAGTTTCGAGTAAGATGCAGTTCCTCTGGGAGCCATTTCGGGTACAGTGGCCGGGTCTGCCATGGCGGATCCTGGCCCCTTAAGACTGAGCTGAGCTCATGTGACCGCTGGATGCATCGGAAAGTAGGCAGACATCTATCGCATTTGGAGGATTTCCCATCATTCCACCTCTGCCCGGGCCGATTAAAAACTCCTGCAGCGGGCCATGCATCTCAAGTCTGATATGGCTGGATCGGACAAGTTGGCCGGAAGAGACTCGCACTGTCATAGTGAAATTGCATGATGAGTGTCGCAGTGTGCCAGCAGCTTAAAGTACGGACGACGTTGGCACTACACACTTGGACACCTGACAAGCCCAGGACACAGCCGACGAGTCATGCTAGCGGGCGCCTAAGCGAATGACGCTGGCAGGACTGTGAAGTCCATCTCATCGCTGCGAACCATCCAAGTACTACGCGCTATATCGCCGACGCCGCCTCGCGCTCACGTCCCCCCAGCTATTGTTTCCGGCCAGACGGTGCGCCCGGACACGTTGCGCATCTTGTTCGACATTTCCTCTTTTGAGCCCACCACCGTCTTTGCTGCGTCGTCTGCTGCTCTGCATCCTGCGTCATAAAGTCACTGGCTCGGCCTCACCTGGGCCCGCCCATGTCTGCCCACCTACGCCCTTCGCCGAACCACCCACTCCATTCCACGACCGCCTTCTCGCTCCCTGCGGCCTGCCTGCGCCCTCTTTGATGCCCCTCTACCGGCCCTTTGTGTGAGCCGGCCAGCTGTTTGGCGACAATCGCCCAATATTTCCGTAAAACACCAACAACGAAACAAATCAACAATCCCGCCCAGAGTCCCTACATAATCGCGCCCACGACGCGCTCCTCAGATACTACATTCAATCCCGGGCGCTGACTCACCTGCGCGCTTCACGACTTGTGCGGCCCGTATCGGTTTTGCAAGGCTGATATCCCGCACCGAGCCTCGTGAAGATTCTTTCTGTGACTCCCCGGGAGCAGCGGATACGCACCGCACAGAGCAACTCCCCAAAGAAAGCACTCCGATTTTCTGCCTGAATCACCAAAGTCCCCATGTCGAACCGCAAGCGGCGCGCGCCAGTCGCATCCCCGCAGCCCCCCGCCCAGACGTACCAACACGATATCCCCGCACCGACCGATCAATACATCAATTGGAATGACCCAGCAGTGGCTACCGACATGAGTTTCACCGATCCACCACTGTACGACAACTACGGCCCGACCATGGGGGCCGGCCACAATCGCGTCGTGTCGCTGGACGGGTACAATGACGGGGCTGAGATGTCTGGCCAATTGGTACGACGAAACACCAACCAACAACTTGCTCCCGCCCCACGGCGCGGTCAGTGGGACGGATTCGCGAGCCCTCAGCAGCAGTGGGAAACGGTGGACGACGATGAAGAGCTGGAACAGAAAGCGGCTCTCGCTAAGAAGGATGCACAGGCAAAACGAAAGCAGATTCCGCCATTTGTGCAGAAATTGAGCAGGTGAGTGACCCACTACTTGTATTTTTTTACCAAACAACCCATAGTACTCGTCATCTTTTGGAGCACCAAGATGCCGTGGATACGTTTACAGTCGCGGAATGGTGGCTGATTTTCTCACAGTTTCCTCGATAATAACAAAAACGAGAATCTCATTCGATGGTCCGACGATGGGAATAGCTTCATTGTTTTGGACGAGGACGAATTTGCACGAACTTTGATTCCCGAATTGTTCAAACATAACAACTACGCATCCTTTGTTCGGCAGTTGAACATGTACGGCTTCCACAAGAAGGTCGGCTTGTCAGACAACTCGATGAAGGCCAGTGAAACCAAGGCAAAAGCACCCAGCGAGTACTACAACAAATACTTCAAGCGCGGACGACCAGAGCTACTGTGGCTGATTCAGAAGCCCAAAAATCCTCCGACCGGACCAAAACGCAAACGTGACGAGGAAAATAAGGGTGACAGTGATGAAGATCGCAAGTATATCCAGGATACTGGAGG